CGGGAGTCGGGATGCTGCACCAATGGTCGGTGACGGATGAAATGCTTCGGTAGTCGTAGGCACTCGTATGTGCCGGTACGATTACTTTTTCCGACCCAACCATGAACCAAGACTCAAGGCCTCGGAAAGACGGAAACTTTCAAGAGGCAAATCACCAGTTATAGATGCCATAGATGGTAATTTGATCAACTTCCCGTCCATAAGAAGCGTGTATGAACGATATTGGATGTGCTTGCATAGGATTTATCAGGAAATTAGACATCTAATGTTATAAATCCAGTTTTATTCAAAGGTAAGGGTTTTCTTCAATATGGAAGCGCTGGAAAGAAATGCCATATTCAAAATGTAAACATGACGCATTTGTTGCGTTTACCGGCGCGAGGAGCATTTGAGGATTTGATTTTGTGTAGTTGTGCGCAGGCTGGCACGGTCCGCCGACATCAAAACAACGGTGCGTCAGCTGATTATTGGTCCTCCGATTCAGGAGAAATTATTAACGCGGGAACGCCGGCGCTAAATAAAGGCGGTAGGATTCACGGCTTCGCATGATCGTGTGCAATATTTTTTATAGTATCATGGAGGAAGGAGTACTGGAGTGGCAACTTCACGCACTGGCGGTCCCAGGGGGGGGGGGGCCACGGGGGCCATGGCCCCCCCTTTGGTGCTGAAAGGTGGGGCCATACTATCTTTTGGCCCCACCTTTCAGATCGAACAAAAGTCCTAGAAAGCTTTTTGTATGTTTCATTTTCTTTCTTGCGCCATCAAAGGACGTAAATTTCACTCATGGAGTGGGCTCAGTTTCGCATTCTGTCAATTTGGCGGTCAGCGTCGCTGACACCGATTCACGAGTATGGCCGGATCTTATATGGAATATCAGCGTGGGTTTACTTGAGGCTCTCGTAGGCCCAGCAATGGCTGGCATGAGACCCTCTTCGGCAGTGCCGGGTGGGCCCTGCCAAATGAGCGTGGCTCTTCGACATGCTAAAGTAAGACCTCATGGGTTGATGCTGTGCACCTCAGAAGCCCGGTGGTGACGCCGTATGCTGGCTTGGTTTCTTAAGGATTAGCGTGGGACCTCCGGGGCCTGCATAGAGTTTGCATGAGCTAGTAGGTATGCAATCTCAGAGGCCTGTGTGTAATGTGTACACAGTGACGGTCGCGGGGGGTGGGGGACATCAGGGCCATGCCCCCCAAAGGCCAATAAAGGGGGCTATCATATCATTTGCCCCCCTCAAACAACCGATGGGCCCCCATAGGTGTATGGGGCCCTGGCCCTTATTCGATCGTCACGAGGCCTAAAAAAAAAACACTCCCAGCTATCAATATAGCTCCCACACCGGTCTTTGAGTGTCCTACACTGACCTCTGAGGGAACTTCAGTGGCGGTCAAGCGCCCATGTTGGCCGCTTAGAGCCCACATCGACCTCTGAAGCCCCACATCTGGCCTATGATGGCCCCTAACCGTCCTCAGGGGCCCCAACCGGCGTCTGAGCGTCTCACACCGGTCTCTGGTGGCCTTATTTCTGTCTCTGGCGTCCCAAGACGAACCCTTAGGTGCCAATGAGGCCCCGCACTGGCTGCTAAAGACCTGATGCCGGCCTCTAAGGGACTGCATTGGCCTCTGAGGAAGGCCCATCTTGGCCTTTGAGGGCCCTCTGCTAGCCTCTGGGGTCCAACGACGGCTCATGCCGGTCTTTTAGAGCCCCACGCTGACCTTTGAGGGCCCCATGTTGGCCTGTAATGAGTAAGGACCCACATTAGCCTCTGAGAGCCCAACTCGGTATCTGATGGTCTCAAACTACTGGCCTTTGCAGTTTGCAGGCCCTGTACTGGTCTCTGAGGGCCTTAAACTGGCCTCTAAGTGAAAACATACATATGCATGGGCTTCTGAAGCTCAGAGGGCTTACGCAGACTCCTGCACAGCCTTACGTTGGTCCTGATCGAGATCACTTTACGTCCTGATGGTCCCGCGTAGATTCTCTCATATTTCGACGTCAGGACCCCATGAGCCGTTGTGGGTCCTGGGGCTGGCAGAGACTGATGAAGTCCTCAGGGCTCAGGGCCAGTCTTCTTAGCATGAGGACTAGGCATTTGAGTGAGCCCCAATAGAGCCGTTGCGAAGCCCACAGGAGTCGCGCGCGGCCCTCAGATGCCAATTTTGAAAGCCAGGAGGCAGGAACCTTTGGTCACCAGAGGTCGGTGTACCTAGCTTCTCTCTCCCGCCGCCACACAACTACTCGTACCTATATGGGTAAATGTCATAGTCTGAAAATGCTCTCTGGGTTTCACATGCTTGTTCAAAGCAAGAGGTAGGTATCTGTACTTTTCCGAATTGTTTTATACTGGTAAGGTAAGGTCATGAATCCGCGTGCCCGACCTTCCAGTATATGCTACACCGATCCGTCGCTATGGTGCAGTGGCCCGACCGGTGGAAACACCGTGGGACGAGAAATGGTAGGTACTGGTGATTTTGCCTTAAATTGAGCTTAAAGATTCAACGCAAGAACGATATGAATGAAGCATAAGTATGGCCAACTGCGCGGCGCCTCGCGGGCGTAAAAAATGAGCCGATCACCCTCCGGTGACGGATAAATGTTATGTCCCGCGAGTGTGAGTTTGGCCCCCCCTTTTGCTAGCGGCTGCGACCGCCCCTGACTTCACGCTTTTTTGCGACAGACACCTTCCAGCTAGTACCGTTCATAGGTTCTTATCGAAAGCAGAACTACACCATTCAGCCAATCAGCGTTGCCAACCGTCCGTAATTCAACCAATGAGCGCGCTCGTAACCAGCTCACGAATAAAATGAACAGACTACATCGAGCAATATTTGATTTTATAAGTTTATAAGTTTATATTTATAAGTTTATTATTATAAGTATAATAATAATATAAATAATATAAAATATTTATAAGTTTTAATGTCAATTTCAACGAGCCGGCGCCTGCCCGTTCTTCCCGTCCTCGTCTCCAGCTGTAGATGTACCGCCCTTCGCGCACCGGATTTGAGATTAATCTGTGAAAGTCGCTAGAACTTGAATGTAACCATTGTCTTCTCCGTTTAATTTCCTGCTCATTGATGTACAAAAATCACACGTAGCGCCCAAAATAATCTTCCTACGCCCTTTTCTCTAAACCGCTGCACGCCATAGCCCGCCATTATAAGCCGACCGCCGCGACCCGCCGATACTAGCTGGGGCGTTTCGACCCGCTCCCGCTAGGTGGCCCGTGTCTGTCGCTAACGGCCCATGCTAAAGGCATGGAGTTGCCACTCCAGTATTCTCTCCTCCATGATAGTATCAAGCGAGGGGTATTGCTGGAGTTTTGCAAATAAATATTTTGTTCTCAGTTTGGCTATGCGATCGTGAACACTTTATTATCATAGATACGATATGAAACAGGATAAACAGGCCAACCCAAGGCTTATGTAGGCCAACCTTAGACTTCGCATAGCCATGGACATTGCGTAGGAAGGTTTAGGTACTCGCCGATCGTACCACGATACCACGGGCAAGATATCAGACTTTTGGGAGTTTTGTGTCGCTGAAATGTATTTTAAGTGCTAAGAAGGAAAATAATTCAATTTAATGATGTCATGGACAATGGACATTTAGCCATTCCAAGCATATAATTTGCCTGGCTTCGACAACCAGATAGCCAGGTTTATTTCAAGAGCTTCTAAAGAGGTAGTGGATTTAATATCGTTTCTATTACATTTATTTGATAATCCTACATATCAGTAAACCTGCCACGCTATCATTCTCGGCGAGCGAAGCGATTACCGGCACATCGTTGATCGTACCAATGCCAATGCAGCGTCGAGCGTCCGATGGTTTACGATAGGAATTATAACAATAGTTTTAAACTAGCGCTTTTTAGAACCATGGTCCGAAATGGTAATTCAAAGAACCTCTTCCCCTTTCAACTCACCTGAAAAAGCTGCTTTCGTGTACCACCCAGCACCCGTTTCGTAGAATATCAAAATCATAACCGGAGGCGAAGATTATCTTTATGATCTACCACGATTCGTGGGGCTGACTAGTACCGACGGGGATCCCACAAACACGACGGTCACATTCATTAAGCATGATGTACGGCGTAAAGCACCACAACTCGGCCCCAAAAGCGCAACCTTCTGAGATATCTTATATTTAGTTTCAATGCTGGTACTGGTGCAGTTTCAATGCTGGTACTCTGCTCATTTCTGTTCAATGAAGTTATTTCTCCCTTAAATGCGCCTCACATTAATCGTGTGCTGTGCTCCACAATCATTGCGCCGCGCGCTCTTCCTTCTTATCGGCCCCCTTGAGATCGTATCCATCAATATCTATTTGCTTCTAAGTTCTAATGACTTGTAGAGAAACAATTTTAGAGCGTTTAACAAAATAATTGCATAACGAGCGATGGGAAAAGCCCAATCGTCCAACTCATAAAAAACTTTGGGACACAAACAACTGGAAACTGTTGGTAGTTGGTACTTTCGCGCATAGGCGGCGGAACGGGGAGGGCACCGGGGCACCGTGCCCTCCTTTGATTTTGGCATTTTAACAATGGGCTCTATGGGCGTTACATGGAAAGAATGGGACCAAAAGTCGGCAGTGCCCCCCCCCCCCCTTCCCCAGTTGAGCTGGGCGCAGGTACTAAATAGCATCAAAGGAAATCCTATATTCATCTCGCCGCATTTAAGCGCACCAATCGAAAGACGACAGCGTGACCGCGCTGACAGGCAATCAACCTGGCCACATAAAACTAGCTAGTGCAAGGAAGATGTCTATATAAACCACTGGACCATGCAAAGCGTTCAGTAAATAAAATACGAGTAAAGATGACGCGTTTGAGGGCAGACTGGCCAAACAGTGACGTTACACGCGGATCTCAACACTGCACAACACATTCATCAAAAAAGATCTCGTGGATCCCTATATACGTCATAACTAGCCCTAGTACGGGGGTATATAGCCATGGACGTAAATGGCCGGCTTAAGGCACAGGATCCCAATTGTCATCCCCATTACGTGGTCCCCAGAAGTCGCCAGGCCGAGAGCTAATGGCAGTTAAGCACATCTTACACGTGCCGACAAACGTGACACAATGAATCCAATAATGAGTCCGCTAATAAGCCTGCCTAATTCTGCATGTAGGCTGCTATTTACCACCACGGCGGAAGGCTAAAACGCATCCATACAGCTCAACATAGGTGTCAATTTCCGCCGGGTTGGGGGTGCTCAAGCTCTTTAGATTCCCCGCCGGCTCGGCTGGCTTGGCTTTGGAGCCCCAACAGACGGTGCGGGTCAAGGTCACCGCTAAGGCAGCGGCGGATTTGCTGCGCCCGGGCAGTGGGCACCCTCAATTCGGTGAAAATCGACACCCATGCAGCTCAACATGACAAAACGCTGCATACAAGCGCACGTCCTCGCATTTAATTGACGCATTTAACTGCGTCACTAACCTCGTACACTGTACAACACTGGTGAGATGACTGTCCGAAGGAAACTGCCGACTTTGGCTGGCAACATTCAGGGTTGGTGACTTATGTACTGAGTTCGGCTGGCTGACGGCGATGTGACTTCAGGACCGGTTGATGAACGGGCCATCCTAGCCCCATACTACAGGAGCCCAGCTGGTCTTGGCGAGCGGCGGCGACTGGACGAGGCTGGACCCCTACTACAGGAGCCCAGCTGGTGCTGACGAGCGGCGGTTACTGGACGAACGGGTCAGCCTGGACCCCTATTGCAGGAGTCCGGCTGGTCTTGGCGAGCGGCGACGACTGGACGAGGCTGGACTCCTACTGCAGGAGTCGAGCTGGTCCTGTCGAGGAAATAGTTCACCTTTAACATGGGATTTTAAACTGAGATAGCAGTCTGATAGAGCAGATTTGTGTATGCCTTATATTTGAACCGTTTGAGATATTCACCTTTTATCAGTGAATATTGGTGCTTAAATTAATGTTCTAGTGCTCATTTACAGCAAGCAGAAACCTCTTCAACACACACAGTGGCCAATCAGCGATGAGAGCACTTACAGGAGCAGAATCCCTTGCAGCTGATAGGTTGTTCAGCTGTAAGTGTTCATAACTCTAATCATTAAAATAATGAAATCCCTTTAGAAGAAGTGTGTAATTCCAAGTTAGAATACATTTAAATTTTATTCATCACATTTTTAACACACCTTTTTAAATTTTATTTATCAAGTTACTCACAGAAGGTGAACAATTTCTTTTAACACTTACCTTGCTTCAATGGTGACATGTAGCTCTTGCAGCAGAGAAGGCACAGCATTTGGCTGCAACTTCAAATATTTACTTGTTACTATCAATTATTCAGTTTTGAAATGCATACAGTAGGTACAATGAATCTTGGGTTCTCCTGTAAGAATGCCGACCGCAGAAGCAGAAGTTCATCCAAAGCTTGCGCCTGAAAAAGGGCCAGGTTTAATTATCATTATACCATAATCACATTTATGCCTAATTTGTAAGAAATAGGTTTAGGTTAGCAGAAATAGGTAAGGTTTTGACTAGACCCCCTGGGCCCTGGGTCACAACAGGAGATGACCCCCGTGATTGGTGGGACCACCAGGCACCAGCACTGGCACAGTCCGTTCTGACCACCGCACACCTATCAGCCACATTTAAAATGCACTACACTACATCTCCCACCACCTGACCACACCAGACCAAATCTGCACCGCGCTACACAAAATCCGCACTGCACCAAGCTAAATCCACGCCACACCAAAGCCTCACCAGCCGGACAAGCCAGCACAGACGAGATCTTGTCGAAATTGCCATGCTTTGCAGAGTGCATACTGGCCTACCTGAACCTGACCTTACCCAGCATATGAGCCTGACTGTCCTTAGCACTGGGAGCTCATTGAGACCAGGCCCCACAAGCCTAGTGGCCTCCTGAAACCTGATTTCCATATGGGGTGAGCTATTTAAGAAAGGTGATCGGATATCGAACGTGAGACAAGACAGCAATGAGCAGTGGGCGGTTCATGCAACCATAATCATGTTTCCTTACCACAAGTATCAAAGCAAAATCAAAAATAGCTACCTATCGAATTCAAATTTCACTGGAACCTCACCAAGGATCTTGATACATCTGCACGAAAGATACATCTTGATCCACTCATCTCAATCTTGTATCGCAATGTATGTTCAGTCGATGTACCCCTCGTTCGATGTCTCTCAGACGACGAAGATTGTACGTCGTTCGGCCAATCCCGTTCTAGATCAACGGGGGCTCGGCTGCAATTATGGAATGTGATTGGCCAAATGACGTAGAATCTTTGTCGTCCGAAAAACATCGAACAAGAGTAATGTCGCTACTGCGCCATTGTTGCATCGAATTCGCCCCATAGAAGCACTCCCATAGGGCCCTGGGTTGACTCTCTCCATAGGGTCCTGGGTAAACTCTCCCCTTGTCTATTTTCTTTAAACGGGGATAGTTTGGACAACAAAATATTTTCGACCTCAAAAAAAATAAAACTTAATTTTTGATGTACCTCATTGATGCAAAACATCAGAAAAACATTAGAAATTAAGTCAAAGAAACCGATTATTTATAAATGGACAGCTGACGGCATGCCTCCCGTGTCCCCTGGCTTGAAGCTTCGGCTCCGTGTTACCTTAGTATTCTATGACCGTGGTTGTGCGGATTTTTATTTTTTATTCGCTTTACGCCTTTTTTTCTGATAATTCAAGTGTAATGCTTGTGTTGTAGATAAGATTCATAACATTCACTTGCTTTGCAGTGTATACTTCATGTGTATATTGTGTGAACTTTTGTCTAGTTCAAAGCGCGTGATGTACGTGAATGCCAACCGCAACGTCATAATTAATAATTATAGCGTGAACTCAAATTTTCAAATAAAATACATGTCAATTGTTTCGTTATAAAATTTTCTTGATCTGAATGTCAAATGGTCTGTTTTCTGTAGGCTTATGCATTGCTGGTCACTCGATTTTTTGTCTGTATTATTGCGGTCTTTGCAGGCATTTTGTGGTTTAACTTGAACTGTTGGTATTAGTATATATTAGGTCCGAGTGGCGAACCGATTATGAAATGCACACTATACGATGTATTAATAATAATAAATTAATAGATAGTATTGTATGTATTTATTTACTTAAGGTTATACCTAGCTTATGACAAGCTCTGCTAGCACTACTATACGGTGTCAGCTAGCAAATATTCCAGTAAATAATACGGCCCTTGAAATTTGCTTGCACAACTCATGTGACGGTAAGCCTGTGAAAGGCAGTGAGAGGGGAATATTTTTTTGCCGTCACATGACCAAATATGCCCTCCAGCACCGTGTCTTCAGATTCCACCTGACTGTTCATCATGTTGCATGTTAGGTAGGTACAATTGATAGCTCTAAATATATAAGAATATCAAGAATTAAACCTTCATGAGTTCTAACCCTGTACCAATTTCTTTTCCACAGGGAAGGGACCTGAGAAGCTATCTTTCAGAGTTTCTGCATGCATGTGATAATACTCATAATAGTCACTGTCAGTCATTTAAATGTTATTACGACAAATCAGTTAATGGTTAACTTGCTTCAAACTGCAGTTTGCAATGATGAAACAAGCTGCTAGAAGCAGAGATGTTGTGCTGCTGCCTCTGAAAGAGGAGTATGAAGAAACTATAGCATCATTGAAAAGTGAAATTGGCAAATTTTGGGTAAGCTAGCCCATGACAATATAAAGACAGGGACCTAGGGGCTAGGACAGATATTAATTGCTAACCCTTAGGTGCTGCTTTCCATACAAATTTATAGAACATAAAATGTGATGCCAATCCAATATCAATTCTTGGCTTAGAATGTTACTATGTGCACTTAGCAGCTCTTAATTGCTGGTATAATTGGTTGCAAGTTTGCCATCAAGGTTTTGATGTGAATTCCTGTAGCTGATGATGTGATTTTGATGTTTGCACTCAATGCCATGCCTCTGTGACTGCACTGCACCCCAGGTGGCCTAGCTGATGTCCCATTCACCACACAGGATGAGCTGGAAAGGCTTCAGGCTCAGGTGGGCGAGGTGACAGCTGAGAACGAGACACTCACTGCCCAGCTGGCAGAGGCTACTCGCTGCTCACCTGCAGCAGCAGCAGCAGCTGGTCCATCCGGAGCCGGTGGTGCCGCCGATTCTGGCACCAGGGACCATCAGCTGCAGCTGGATTTGGCAGTCAAGGTGAGCTGGATGTAGGAGGAAGAGACATTGGGCTGTTGTATCTGCAGTGAGTTTATTGTACCAGTTATGGTCTTTGTTGCCTGTCACCTGTGTGAGTGTTTTGCAGTTTTTTTATTATTATCATTGGGTCTGGGTTGTTGCCAGGTTATCCTATTTGACATTTGAGAATCTGGATGTTAAGTTTTGATAAACTATCACAGGGCATCTAGTCAACTGGAAACTACCAATGATCTCAAAATTTTGCATCATCGCTAGGTATGTTATGTCTGTTTTTTCAAGATAACATTTATTTTCCAGAAGCGTGACTCTGCCGTGCAGCTGTGGCAGGCCAGCGCTAAAGAGGTAGAGCGACTGGAATGTACACTGATTTCCTATCATCCCCTGTGTATTTTTTTTAGGAGCGTGACTCAGCGGTGCAGCTGTGGCAGGCCAGCGTTAAGGAGGTGGAGCGGTTGGAGGCAGCGCTGTCGGCCGCCCGGACGGACGGCTCCGACCAGCGGTGGCAGCGGTACACCGAGCAGGTGAGGTGTCCGGGGACTGCACTAGGTGCAGTCCTTCACGCTGCGTCGTGCTCGATATTAAAAGTCGCATCACTACTCACTGTGAACATTAAATTGTTTGTATTTGATATAAAACTCAGTTTGAGCTGTGATCTGTGTTACAAGCAGAAATGTCAGAAGTATGTTCGCTCCCACTCCGGTGCTGGCCCGCAGTCCAGTGTCTCCGTCTGTGTCTTTTGGCGTTCGGTTGACCCTCCGGACCCTCCTCACTCGGAGTCACGTGCCGCAGCTGTGGCCGGGCGGCGGACGCGGCACGGCGTCTCGTTAGACGGGGGCGGGGCCGGCGCGGGCCTCTGGGGGCGGCTGGGCGACTCGTTACTCTGCTCCCGGCTGGGCCGGGCCGGGAGGGAGGGCTGCTCTGCGCCCCACACTGCTGGTGTGTCTGTGATCCTGGGTGAACCCCAACCGTACCGTGGGTGACTTCAGGTGGGACCCTGGGTGTTGCTCAACAGTTCAACTACTCGTGTCACTGCCATCTGCTCGGCCCCACGGCCCCACCCCCGGCCAGTCAGCCGGACAGAGGACTGGTCAATGAACTAACCGAGCGGTACCGCAGACAACAACCCGACCGTAACCAATCAATGGTGTGGCTATACGGCCGCTCTGGGGTCCATCGCTCCCGGCCCGGCGGTGACCCCTGAATAGAGCCGTGTCCGCGCTGTCACTGGGTGTGTCGTAAGGCGGAGAATTAGCGTTCGTAGGCGGCAGGGAACGTGCCGCGCTGTGTGACTGTCCGCCGCTATTGTGATGTCACCTCGCGACAATTTGTGAATGTCTGCAGGTGTAATGGTCGACTACATAGTGTCAGTAGTGCGACGAACTTATAAGGGATCTCGAACGATACGGAAGGAAACCGAGAACCATTAAGAAGTCATTTTGGTGTCATGAAAGAATCTGAGGCCGAAACAGACACTTAAGTATTAATCCCATTTTGCTGATTGTGGTCACTATTTCCTGTCGTCTCTTTTCTGCTATGGATGTCGCGAACTAGGCTATATTTTATTTTTAGGATGATGCCGACGTAAGCTGCTGCTAATCCGCGGACGAGCGGTGGACATTCCTGGTTCTCTGACCATGGTCGACTTGTCGGATAGCTAACAGCGCACTCTTGAACTTACTTTGTGCGCACTGCTCACTTATGATCGTTAATGAGTTTAATAGAACGGTGAGGTTTCAGCGACCGTAAATGATGAGGGGTGAAGTTTTGCTATATCAATACCTACGTTTCCAACAACTGGATTATTCTTCTTACGATTTGCATCGTATTGTATGTATAATTCTACCAGATATTGGAATGATTATATAAGATAAAACTTTGAGTTTTTCACTGATCGGAAGTGAATCAAGTTTTGTATAACTTCTCAATGTCTGGCAATGTCGTATCGAGCATATAGTGCGTGCGCCATTCCTGTTCCAAATCACGCAGTTCCGTTGACTGTAGAAGCTCGTTGGGCTCATTTATGCTCTCTGTAGATTCTCGTTAAATCAGTTCACTATTCTGAATTCGATGCAAAGATAAATTGCCGCCGAGTTTGGAAATTTGAACAGTGTGTCAAAACACCTCCGAGCATCATTAATCAAGCGCACGACTGCATGCGTGTTTTTGTCTGGCTAATCGCGAAATGTGACGTAGTCAGATAGCCACCTCTATTCTCTTTTGTAAAGGCTCGCCTCTACGACGTCTTATGTGTGATGTTCGGATTCCTAAACACATTTGAACGATTTGATCTGCTGAATGACAACGTTTGTGTTTCACCATACTTGATTTAAAATATCGATTTTATGATGCAGTTATACGGTGGTTCAATAAGTAAGGTAAAATCACATGTATTTCAGCCCACCTATGCTGTAACGACATAAAACTAACAGCAAATGTTCAGTTAACTTTCGCCTACAAAGTGGCTATTAACATTTGTTGGCAAGTCTTGTCAGCCAGCCTCCCCAGCCTTCGAAAGTCATACCTTCATCCGATCACCGTTCGGGCGCACGCGCTTGTCCAGCAATTCACTCAGCGCTGAAAGCTTGCTCGAAAAGCTCCTTATTGATACCCTTACGCTTTTTATCTACTATTTTATTGATTGCCTCATCAATAAAAAGTTATTCCCAAGCGAAATGTCTGTCAGTGATCCGATAGCGATGGCAATAGTGTCATTCACTAGTTTTGAAGCAGATTTGGGTTCACATGACAAAACGTACATTTCTAGAACGGAACGCTGCTGCATCGATGTTTTCATACCGACCGTGTTCAGACAGTGATGCAGACACCTTAAAACGGTTGCGAATGTCGCGTGGGAAATTTTCCGTAGATTCAGATCACACATTTTATTTTCCTTAACTTCACGAATTCCATTAACTATAGGACATTTTACCTTACTTATTGAACAACCAAGGTACCGGCTCCCAGCTGCAATGGTGTCTCTACTCTCGGTCGGGCCGCCGTCTGGTCCCATGTGGTGTTTCCCCATCCCGTCCACGGTCTGTACTATCGCAGTAACCCTATCACGGCCGTGCCTGTCCGCCCAGATTCGCTCCCAGTACGCGCGGGCGGTCAGCACGGTTACGGCTGAGCTGGCCCGGCAGCGGGAGGAGGCCGAGCGCTCGGCCGCCGCTCTGGCCGCCGCCGAGGAGGCCGCCCGCTCGGCAGAGGCGGCGTCGGTCAGCCACCGTCAGCAGGTGCGGCGTCTGACGGAGCGGCTGACGGAGGCCGACCGACGCGCCCTGGAGCAGGCCGAGCGGCAGCAGCAGCTGGAGGCCGAGCTGGCCCTGCTGTCAGAGTCAGCCGCCTCGCATGACGAGCGGCTCCGGCGGGCGACGGAGGAGTCGGAGCGGCTCCGTCAGGACCTGATCGAGGCCCGGGAGCGGTGCGTCCAGCTCAGTCAGCGCGAGGCTGAGGCGCTGGAGAAGATCAGGGAGGGCGTGGATGTCGTACAAAACGCCCTCATCGAAAAGGAGGAGGCCGTACAAAAGGCAGCTCGACTCGAGGGTAGGTGGCAGGTGACGGACAGTCACTATCTAAACCCAAATATCTGCATCCGCAACGCTTTAGATAGTTGGAAAACCAGTGTCGCATAAATTCCCAGAATGAGTAACGCATCTGCCGAATGACTAACGCCGTTCTCGCGTGAATGCCCAGCGCTTATCGATTGCAATAACGCTTCTGTGAAGGGCCACCGACGCCTGGACCGTCTGCCCACGTAAAAGCGCATATTGCTGGTAGCTGTAGTTTGTCGCGCCCGCCTTATTCGACCCCACCTAAACCGCATGTCGGCTGCCTGTCTGGCGCCCTGTTCGCCACCTAACCTCGGGTGACCCCAGGCTGACCCTGGTGACCCCTGTGACCCCGGTGACCCGGCGGCGGACCTGGCAGGGGATGTGGCAGACCTGGAGGCGTCTCTGGGCCGGCTGGCTGACGAGGCCGGACTGCGGACCCGTCAGGAAGTCGATGCCGTGCGCGAACAGGGCAACAAGCGGCTGACCGAGCTAGCTGAGAAACTGCAGCAGAAGGACGCCGTAAGACGGGGTCGGGGAGAACGCCGTTCAGTGCCTGTTGTGTACGGCGGTATTTTAGTCGTCCAACCTGCATGACCCGAAGCCGCGATGCCAGGTTGTATGGTTCACATGTAAATTACCTGTAAATTTACCGAAGGGGTTTAACTTAATGCTGCTCTCAATCTTGTCCTAGCTTAACTTGGTTATTTAACTGCTTGTTCTGCATATTGATAGCATGGACTTTGCGTATGATTATGCACATATCAGTCACTATTGACGTGAAACCCGAACACTTCAGCAAACAAAAGATCTGTACCCTATTTGACCCCGCAATGTTTCCCAAGAATCCGTCGTAACCGGGGGACGAGCTGGGTAGGAGAGCGTCCGCAGTGCCGACCTCTCCTGTGCTCTCTTCGTCAGCGACTGCTCCTTCGCTCTCTCCGGTCTCCTCCTCTCTCCTCTGTAGCTGCTGGTAGGGGATATGACATCTCTCCTCCCTCCTTTCACCCCCCCCCCCTCTCGGAGGTGCCGTGTCTGCTCAATCCGTTCATTTCCGGCTGGACCGAGGTGTGCGTGTCTCTGATCAGTGGCCTGTCTGTTTGTCCGTCCGTCTGTCCGTCTGTATATCTGTCTAGCTGGGCTGTGTGGTCGTCCACCTAATCCATCCCCTCCCCTCCCCTCCCCTCCCTTACCTAACGAGCGGTCTCCACGTAGCTGTAGTCCCATCTGAGCCTCCTGTGCTTCTCTCCCCCCGGCTGCGGACGGTGACCGACCGTCGCGTGCCGTCCCTGAATGGATCGGCAGCCTGCTGTCACCGCGGGGGCGCCTGTTGCGTAACATTTCGTGTCGGATGATGAGTGACGTCTCATTTTGAGCCTGATTTTACCATGGAGCTGCTGTTCAGAGTTCGATGCGCGGTCGATTTTTGTCATGTCCAGTACGGTTACAGTCTCAGTTGTTCACTGCTTTATCTCGTTTTTGCTCTGTATGTTCTCACTAAATTATTGTACTAAAACCCAAATTCGAACTGCAATGCTAGAAATGTCTATAAAAGTCGTTCGCTTCTATAACTACGCAACATCATCTTGCACCGTTACACCGTTTAAGTAACAGCCGTTCTGTCGCGTACTACACCTGACCTTACCGGTGTATACCGTTCTTACCATGCGGTTCCACTCCGCCCCGTACCGGATTGTACCGTGGCGTGCCGCGCCGCCCCACACTGCCTGGAACGCCAGAGATGTAGCCGGGGTCACGGCCCGTGGGCGGCCGGGGCTCAGCACCGACCGGACGGCTGATTAATCAGACCGTGACCGACCGACTGGCCTCCCCCCCCCCCCCCCCCCCACTACCTCCCAGACCCGCGCCACGGGGTCCAGAGCCGCGGGCGTTGACTTTGAACTGGTTCAAGGCGTTGGCGCACGTAACAGCGAACTGCTTCCACAGCTGTTCTTGTTCTGCGCAAATTTGAATGCAAGGAAGCGGTACTTGTGCGCCTTGGGATGATTAGAAAGTTAACAAGTCTTTGATGGACTGTATTAGTGATTTAGTATTGCTTTGGCTCCCACGTAGCAAAGCCAAGCTGGGCTAGTTATGCGCACAAAACTCCCTACGTGTTAAAATCGAACCAGTTGCATCAAGTGTCCCGGTTGCTCTGAGAATGAGCCGCTCCGTTCCGCTGTTCTGGCGAGTCCTTTTAATCCATCCAATCTATTTGTGGTCTGTGCTCGGTCCAAAACGGACCGCCCGGCTCTGGCGTACGTCAGGCTGAAACCGTCGCAGGATTGGCGTCAGATTTCCGTCTCAGTGCAGTGACTCAGCCCCGCGGGGAGGAGTGATCTGTGCCGAACGGCACTCGGCCTTAGTCCCGCTGAGACACTTGTTATCGGGGGTAGCTCCATGTTGGTGTTACTTCTCAGATGCTTATGATTTTCATCTAATAGGTATGTGACAATCAGCGGTGGTTGATAGATATCGGAAAATAGTTTTGATTTGATTAATTCGTAATCTTCCCTATGACGGCGTTCTTGACGGAACTCCGATCTCTTCTGCTAAGTAGCTGAAAACACGAAATGAGAGACGTTAATTCGCTTGCGTCAGTGAAGTATCACATGCGCGTATATGGCCACTGTATTCATCATAGGATCACAATACCAGCGGCAGCCACCATACGTTATTCGCCACGGGATATCCGTATGTGTGGTTTTATCGCCTTACGCCTAAAGAACGGCCCTACCCCAACGCCGTTGAATTTTAGCGTCCCGGTGTTGTGTGTCGAGTTCATCGCGTACCCATTTGATGGATGTCCAGTTAGGCTCCACCGTCTGATGATGGAGCGTGACCGATGCTCCGAACCAGGTGTGTGTTGAACTCCGCTGACACCGACTCCGCCAACAGGAGGAGGTGGAGCACCAGCAGCTGATGGAGCGACTCCTGCGCGACAAGAAAAAGATCGAGTCCGAGTACGAGCGATTGAAGGTGGGTCGCATCGCATCCCTCCCCGTCTTCCGGGCTTCCATCACACGCGTGTGAGAGTGCCGGGTGCGCCGGCGGCCGCCTCCCGCGCTGCCCAGTGATGGGTCGGGCGCCGTGTTCCGTTCGGTCTGACCGCGGGCCGTGACATTACGTGTTGCCGTCTGCTGTTGTGTCGGCCGTGTGTGATCTACAGCTCGGCACAGTCCGCGGCAGCACCGCCATCAGTCTCCCCGCGCGGCCCGACCCGCTGACTTTCGGCGCCGCCTGAGGAAGGATTGCGGTGTCGGAGGAGTGCGGTCAGACGATGTGTCTGGAGTCCTGCTGCCGTCCGTTTTTGCCGCCCACTCGCAGCTCTGTGGGAGTGACCGCCGTGAACCCGCCGCCCGGCCGGTCAGCCGGTGGCGCGGTGAATCTGCGGCCGATCTGTTCACGCGCCATTTGAAGTGGCCCGCGCCGGCGGGTCGCGGTCACTAACGGCGCGCCGCGCGGCCGGCCGGCGCCTCCGTCGACAAACTGCTCTATTGTGGCGCTGCGGCGGCGGTCGGCCCGGCTGGCCGGCGGCCACTCACTCGGAAAATACCCGCGCCAACCGAGTGTTATTGATTGCAACGGAAGTTGAGATGGCCCCCTGCTTCCTGCCATATTGCTGAACGGGAGACAGTGTCCACTGTCCAGTTGGCCACCGAGAGGCGGGCCGAGATTAAGCGAGTAATGGAGTTGTTTGTGAGAGACGTTTCAGAGCCATTTTGCTGGAGAGTATTGGCTAAGTTGTGCTGTCCTATTGTCCGAGGCAATGTCACCGTGGGTATTAGCGGTTGAACAGTGAACACTCAAAGAATGCTTTACCGTAAGTGTTTTCCGTTCTAAATTCATGCTTCTGACCGTGCTCTCTTATTGCATCGCTCATGAAAATTGCCGTCTACTTTTGTGCCATCATTATCACAGCTGTTGTTCCTCCCCTAAATGCCCCCTGTCGTGTTACAGGAGGAGCATGACCGGTGTCGTTCAGGAGAGGCACAGTGCGCCGCCCTGCAGGAGCTGACTGAACGGCTCTCACGGCTGGAGGATGCCAGGATACAGGCTGAGGCCACGGCCGCCGAGCTGACCCGAAAGCTGACCTCGGCGCAGGCCAGGTCAGTTGCTGAAGCGCCCCGGGTGATACAGACGGCCCGGTAGAGGATAACCCGGATTACGTAAACCAAGTTTGCTTGATGCAATAGTTATACTCTGAACACCTGTGGTAAAATTTATATCCGTATCGTTTTAATTATTTTATTTCTATTATCCAACCATCATATCCAATATCCATCCCCTGCCAATTTATTCACCATCGTTCGTTCGTCTATCACCACCCTGTCGTTTTTCCTCTCCACCCGTGTTTGCTGTCGGCTGTGTATTCCGCGTTTTTGCGGCGCCGGCTGGCCGGCCGGCCGTTTGTCGGTAACTGGCACCGTCTGCCTCGCTGGCGTCACCGGCCCGGCCTGATCGCCCCGGTTTACAGCCCGTTGGCCATCCATGTGTGTGTGCCTGTGTGCGCGCGGTGTACACACGCCGATTACGGTGAATTTGCCGGCCTTTGATAGCCGGGCCGGGTTGGGACGGGCCGAGCTGGGATGATAGTGGCGCTGGTCTGGGCGTGGCCGGGCGCTGGTCTGGACGTTGGCTGGGGCACTGGTCTGCGCGCTGTCTTATGACGGGTTTGATGCGATGGTTATGCAGTGAGCTGACGTCAACTGTTGGTCACACTGACCGAATTCTATGGGTGGGGATTCAGGATGAAGTCGCATTTTGCCCTAGTTTCGGGGACCCCTGTGACTGGCCCATATGGTATTACCGTAGCATTAGGCAGATAATTGCTAAATCGCGATAGGTCAGTTTCTGAATCTATTTCTACCCAAATTTGAATTCCAGAGTTGAATAAGATCTTGAATCCCTTATGATAACGTCCATATTGTGCGTCACAGAGTGCTTTTGGTGCCTTTAGGCGGGAGGTTGAAATTATCATGGTCCTGCCTGAAGCATTTAAAATCAATTGGGTTGAAGAACGGACGCTATGCCGTCATTTGATTATTGTAACCGATTTGATGTTCTTTTATGGAAAACGTTCCTGAAAGTACCGTCATAGAAATGACGGTTATGCAAAGTGAAATACCAGATTTAGGTACTGGTTTCTGTGAAACATTTGTGCTGAATTGGGTATCATCACCAGACAGTGAGGGTCAACAATTTGTGGCCAAATTGCAGCCGATTTTTCAGCATCACATGCTGGCAGCCTTCCACTTGTTTTTGCCGTCCTGCATTAGATTGGTGTAGTTAACAATTTCAGACGGAGCACTGTGGCTGTTTTTTTAGAGGATTCTCCGTTTGTCGTCCTTCCGACTCCAATGTGGACGTGCCTCCCTTTGTCCTGGGTGCAGCGGCGAGCCATCCGGCGCTCCCTACACCGGACAAACACGCATTCATCAGGTGGCATTCAGCGCGCTCGGCCCATGCTGCTGTGTGCGCGTTTTTCGGTAACCCCTTCCCGTGCGGCGACAGTTACCGCGCTATCGATCGGTGTAACGTCCGGCGCCGCTTCTTTGAACACCCCTTTCATACGGCTCTTTGGTGGGCGGTAAATACACGTGCCATGAAGCAGCCACCGCTCGGCGGGGGGCGGTGGACGACTGCGGACGGTCGCGGACGGCTCGGTACCGGCCATCCATCAGGGCGTGTGTGGACGGGGCAGCGCCACTGGGCCGCTGACGCCGCCGCGAGGAGCGTCCGTCGCCAATTAGGACGGGGCGGAGCCGGCGACATCGATCAGCGGCCGCGGTGTCGCGTACATTGCAATACGGGTGGTAACGAGCGGCCGCCGCACCGTCTAACGAGTTAACTCGCAGTCCGGTCTGCGCTCCAGACGACACCCACGCGAGCACCGGCCCCGCGGCTCACCCCGCCGCGCCGGCTGCAGCACACTTTTTGGAGGCTGACGCGGGCTTGGTTTTATGTTACAGGAGGCTGATTTGAATGATAAACTGGGACTGATTTAGTATTGTGGCACCGTTTTATATAGCTACTGTTCAATATGAGGCGATCCGGAGTGACTTAGGCAAATTGGCTGCCCTCAGTTTCATGGGAATGTGAATCCGGTAGCTGTGACATTATCAAAACGGCTGGTGTTTGTCTCGTTGCTGGAGCTCGATTCTTGAAAAGTGTCTAGCGACTGATTGGTTATTGATTCAGGATGTTGACATTCAATGGCCGGCGCTGTACTTGCAGTGACTGGGTCTCCTTCCAGAGTATGCTGCCACTTAATCCGGTATTTCACACTTGATTTACCGCCGTATTATCAGCAGCAGAGTGAATAAGTCGCCAGCGATTTCAGGGAAATGCCGAGGCGCGCTGTGTCATTGTTGAATGCACCGGCCCGGCTGATTCGAGCTGAAGCACTGGCTTGACCATTTAGCAGACACCATTTAGCAGATGTAAGCTAGTGAGCCGGCTATAAATACAGTTTCAGCCGCAGGCAGGACCATACACCTGTGCCCGGTATCTATTTTAGTCATGTGTGTACGGTGACATCAAGGAAGTAAAAGCTTCGTTCGTGTTCTGTAGGGCGACTTTACCTTTTTATTTTCAGAACAGCATGGGCTCTATTGATGTGAATTCCATATTTCAGCCGCTGCATTTTTAGTTTTACATATTGCCAAGCTTGTTTGCTATTTTTCCTCCATGGCATTACTTTCAAATTTCAACATGGACTGTCGGGCTAACCGCTAGTTGGTCTTTATCTATGATTTAACCCGCGCGGGGCTGGGGTCTCCAGCCGAACGCGCGGGGCTGGGGGGGGGGGTAAATTTTACCCCCCCCCCCTGTTATCTCCCGAACTAATGGTCCGATTTGGAAAATTCAAACGCCAATCGAAAGCTCTCATCACGAACTACTAAAAACATGTACTTAATTTAAAGTTTGAGGTCAAGGTCAAGGTCAGGTCAAGGGTACAAATTGCAAGTTTCTACAGTATCGGCCTTGCACCGTAGTCGCCGAAGAATGGAGTCATGGACTGAGACTGATCGCCCAAAACGTGTTCTTAGGCTACCAAGACAATATTCGTTGCATACAATATCATTCAGAGGTCAAGGTCAAGGTCAGGTCAGGTCAGGTCAGGTCACCAAAGAACAAAATATAGAAAAGGGCATGTGCGACACATGTTTTATGGGTCATTTTACTAATAGAATTCAATAGGCACACTCAATAAGTGATATGGACCACCTCTGGATGAATTTCAGGTCGAGGTCAGGTCAAGGTCAGGTCAAGTGAGGTCAAATTTTGAAGTTGGTTGTTAAGGCCTAAAAAAGTGTCTATCTGATGCAGTTTTTCACGGCAAATCGAATGGTGTTATTTTTGTTTCCGTACGAGGTCTAGAACTTCCAAAAAAGTCATTTTTCAAAAAAATTGTGTGTCGTGACGTCATAAAATTTTGAATAACTCCCACATTTTTGAACCGATTCTTCTAAAATTTGGTATGTAGGTGCACATAGACCACTTCTCTGACATATATTCCGGTTTTTTCGATAGACTCAAAATTTTGGATTTTATAATGATTTTCCCAAAAAAATCAGTTTTTTGAAAAAATTTAGGCCAAAATCCAAAATTTTCAAAAAACCGAGATAGCCATTTGATAGACTAAGTAAAATTACGTATAACCTTTTTTGTTACGTCTTGATTCCTTTAAAAATGAAGATGTTAGCGGCGTTTGAACTTTTGCCGTTTTTGTTGCGAAAATGGCGAACATGACGTCACTAAAACGTCAATTTCTCAAAAATTTTCCGACGGATTTCGCTCAAATTTTCAGGGAACGTGTCAAATTGATGTAAGAAAAGGTACTGAAAGTTTGGCGGCGCTGCGCGCCGCCGTTTTTGAGATATCGCAAAAATTCGCGAGGGGGGGTAAAATTTACCCCCCCAGCCCCGCGCGGGTTAACCACGCTACATCTCACTGTATCCGGTTCAGCAGTCTCGACGCTAAACCATGGCCAAATTAGCGCGCAACATATGCTGCCTGTCACTCTCGCGGCCTTGGCGACCGTTTCCCCTGGGTTGTCCAATGGGGGCGTCAGGCCGGATCTAGTCTGCGTCGCTGTACCTCTGATGTCAGCCTGCGGTCACTGCGCTGAGCTACGGCCCTGCCGGACCTTACCCGTCGCCATGCATCATGACCTCCCACCGCCCTGACACGGTTTGCTCCGTCCACCCAGACACGCTGTGGAGCTGGAGCGAGCCGCGGAGGACGCCGCCGAGCGCCAGCGCCGCCTGGCGGAGCTCTCAGACACCTGTGATGAGCTGATGCACCAGAAGAGGGCTCTGACGGAGGAGCTGGCGGCGGCCCGTACCCAGCAGGACACCGAGCTGGCGGCGGCCACCGAGCGGCGCCGAGAACTGGAGAGAACCGTCAGGTGCGGTGAAGGGTTTAGCCGTTTAGCCGAGGAAAAAGGAATGTTTGTACATCCTAGGCTGGTATCCTCCTAAAGTCCTAGGCTGCTCGAGGTGATGTTTAAATGAGGAGGAAACAACTGACCTTTGGGAATAACATAGCGATCCACCGTTCCATGCTTCTATCCTCAGGATACTGAAATCCTTCTCCTCCACACCGCAACCCCCCTCCGGGCTGGACAGGCAACTTTATCTCATGCGGGCTGCTCCCTTGGAGCGGCACCGCTGCTCCCGAGGGAGCGCACCCCGTAGCCGGGTGCAGTGAGTGCCTTGGGGCTGGGGGGCCTGTCTTCGGACGGGCTCAGCCCCGGCGACTCACTAGGGTGCCTGCCCAGACCAATGTCTCCCCCTATATCCTATCATTCTCCTGGCTCTGAAATGGTCTTACTGGACCGAAAGGGCCTAACCCAACAAAACAAACAAACAAACAAACAAACATAGCGATTAATGAACCATGTGTTAGAGCGAATCCCTCAGTGCGTGGCGATGCTGTGTGGCTATGGCGTGATGACTGGGTAGTGACCGGCTGCCGGTGTTTCAGCTCCCTGGAGCAGAAGCTGCGTCAGAAGGAGCGCCTTCTCAGCGTCGAGATCCACTCATTTGAGACGGACCACGAGCACACAAAGGTCGAGCTCCGGCAGCAGCTGAGTGAACAGCAACAGATGTCGGCCAAGTGAGTGACGACTGTTTAAAGAGTTATGTGAGTTATGATAGTTTGAAGAGCTCTCTGCGCCTGGCAACGGGCAAATTGAAGCAGGCCTTGCTCCATGGTACGGCCGTACAGAGTTTCCCTAATTGAGTTTACTGTCTGGCATTTATCTTGTCGTTATTTCCTTCGTGTTACTGGTTGCTTTATTTGCCTTGCTTTAGATCATTCCCTGGGTTTGTTTACTAATTCTGAGTACTTATATGTCTAAGGATTGCCTGTCTTCCGTCTCGGGTAGTCTACTCGTATCTACAGGTTCTCCTCCTATTTGCCCCTCCCCATCTGTCAACTGATCCTTGTCCTGCCAGTCACGACCCACGCTCCTAATCTACCCTCTGACTCTCCTCTCTCCTTCCTCTCTCTCCAGGTGGCGCCGTGAGCTGCTCTCTGTGACGGAGCAGACGGAGCGCCGAGTGGCTGACATGCGGCGCGTCGAGCGTGACCTGGCCCGGCGCATCACCGAGCTGGAGGACGAGCTGCGGGAGGTCAGCGGACACCGCCTGGAAGCCGAGGAGGACGCCAAACGCTACAAGTACAGGTAATATTTTGTTGGATACTGGATAGTGAGTGCCGTAACGAATTGGCATTTCCTTTTTCGGTGTCAGCGTGAGGATTCGCCTATTAAAGCTGGGAATTATAGCCCTATTCCATTATTCCATTATTCCATTATTCCTATTCCCTATTCCATTATTCCATTTTGAACAATAGCACGCTTTGAGTAGTGTTTAAACGTCCTATGTGACTGCAATTTAACCTCCCCCTCCCTTTTCCTAGAGTGCGAGAGCTGGAGCTGCGTGTTCAGACGGCCGAGAAGCGTTTCCTGACGGTGCGCTCAGAGGCTCGGCGGGTATCACCCTCGGCGGCGGCCCGAGACCCTCGGCGACACCAGCTGGAGGACTGACGGTAGTGCTGCCCGGGGGGAGGGGTCGGCGAGGGGTCACAAGCTGCGACGCTAGAGCCTTGGAGAAGATCTGCCGAATGCCGCTAAGCCGGGTGGACGAAACAGGTAGCGGTGGACGCAGATAGTGTTGGACTCGACAGCTGTTAAATAGAGGATCTCCACGGCTTTCTGATGCCGCCTCCAGTTCATCTGATGAATAAACGGACGCTCTTGTAGAGTGTAGTAACGATAGTGTGTATGGGTGCTCGTGTGTTAGCAATCGTGTCCAACGGCAACGGAAAATCACTGCCCACTGATGTACCGTATGAAATATTTGCATGTTCGTATTTTCATAGTCATCACCTCGAATATCTTGAATATCGAGTTTTAAAAGGTGAACTCATTTGTCTGAACTAGTCAACTGGACATTTGTGATACGCATTATAGCGACTACTGATCAAAGGTATGGGACCAACGAATATTCGATGTCGCTCTTATCGAACTTGTGTCCATTGCCCGCGCCCGGTCGTCTTTTGACGAATCTCAATGTCAACGGGCTCACTTTCATTTGATTATCCTCAAATTGATGTGTCTACATACCAATTTGTGTTGAATGTTCGCCTGTGTGATGTGTGCTAAATGGTTTACTGTCGAAACTGTGTGAGCGTGTGAGTGCACATTTTCGAGATACAAAGGCAGATCAAGTACAAACCTATGTGAAATACAATATAATGATTCAGTGAGATCAGTGTTTTTGGGAACTGGCTGGTGATCGGTTCCTATGTTTTGTCAAATGGGTGAAGAAATTCAATGTAACAATTAGCCATGCCCCTCGTAGACGGCGACAGTCGCCTCCCGTTCTTGTTGGATTATGTCGGTCGGCTACAAGATTCCTTTACTACTCGGTCGGCTATGCCTTTAGTTGGTGACATTAGGCAGGCTATAATTTCAGATGACAGCAACATATCCACCACTTAAGGCATAACTGCCTCATGCCTTTCTGATGTAGATCGTGAGTGAGGTGTAATTCGAATATACTACTGGTACTGTCTCAAAAGTCTGATGAACTCGACGGGTGTCAATCGCCAGATAATTTTCTTGCAGAGATTTACCTTCATATTTTTTTTTTTTTTTGTTGGGTTAGGCCCTTTCGGTCGACAAGACCATTGCAGAGCCGGAAGGATGATAGGAATTAGGGGGAGACGTTGGTCTGGGCAGGCACCCTAGTGAGTCGCCGGGGCTGAGCCCGTCCAGAGGACAGGCCACCCAGCCCCAAGGCACTCACTGCACCCGGCCAAGGCCCTATATACCCACCCGGCTACGGGGTGCGCTCCCTCGGGAGCAGCGGTGCCGCTCCAAGGGAGCAGCCCGCATGAGATAAAGTTGCCTGCCCAGCCCGGAAGGGGGCTGTGGCGTGGTGGAAAAAGGATTTCAGTATCCTGAGGATAGAAGCACGGACAGGTGTTACCTTCATATGGCAGCTCTGTCTTTTAAGCCGTTTACTGCGCAAGAATGACAATTATTAATTTCATCTTTCCCGGTGAGATCAAGATAGGCAAGCAAGCATTCAAAACGCGGTGTAATTTAGTGAAAAAATTGATAAGTTTTGTCATAATATATCACGTAAGCAATTTTCAAGGGTTACTTGTTGATCTTTTGTGAAGACAAGTGCGTAAAGGAGCAACTAAAGCATTGTCAAATTTCACCATGTGTTGCTTATGATGAAATGCTACGTCAACGTTATTTGACCGTGTCGCCCAGTTTTCCCCATGTTGTGCAATGTTGTGTAGTTAGCCGATGTACTGTCTTTATATCCGCCCCTGATATTCTTCTGTTTTTGGTGGTGTGTGCATTGGTGCCTAGTTATTGGTGGTGCTCTCGTTCTTGTCAGAGTAGAGACTGAAGTTGTCACCATTCATTTTCCAGATTTTGATCACAGATGTCTGATTGTGGACAAATGGTTGAAAGGTATAATGTATAATTGAAATTCATACAATTCTTCCCAATAGTCATTCATTGTCAGATGATAGGGGACTGGGGAGTGCCTTCTCGAGTTGCCAGGGCCTGGCATGAGTGGCCCATTGTCACAAATAGTTTTGAGCAAGGTTTTGAGTAAGATTATCTACCAATGATGTGAATCTGTGAATGTTTTGGAGACTATTCACTTTAATACCACACTTTTAAAGCGATTTCAGCCTCACCAGTAGGCAATACTATCAAATATGTTTGCTTATCTAAATTGTAGACGCCTGTAATATCCACTAACAGTTTTTAAATGCTAAACTACCTATTTTTGTAAAGCATTTGACCTTGAGGCAGCATGAAAGGGAAGCATGTGTCTAAAGGACCATGTCCTCTCTTTTTGACATGGTAAATTTCTGATATACATATATTTTATTGATACAGCTGAAATGGGTAGGTGCCTAGGTATCACAATTATTTGGTGAGGTGTATGATGCTGCACAACTGTTCCTGTGCCCAGAAAATACTTAAATCATATTCAGCCAGACCTGCCAACACCACCATCATTGAGACAGAGCCCCTTTAAATGTAACCTTGTGCAGTTACAGACCAGCCCAATGTTAATTTCAAATGCACGTGATCATGGAACTGCAGCCTACCGAATTACTGACCGCAGTTACCCGTATTTCCAGTTGGATGTCGGTACTGGGTCCTCTGCAGAGCACCTGCCGTCAGCTGGTCGCTAGGATGACCGACCTGCCCGGCCTGGCCACCGGTCTGGGCCTGGGCGCCGTGGTCGGCTGGCTTCTGTGGCGCCCCGGCCCGGCCGCCCGCGCCCTCAGTGACACCCCCTCCGCGGGCGGAGACGCCCCCCGCGGACCCTACATTGTACCAGTCAGCGAACACGACGACATGAAGATGATTCTGGTTGTGCGTATGGATCTGAAGATGGGGAAGGGTAAGATCGCTGCGCAGTGCTCGCACGCGGCGCTGGCCGCCTACAAGCAGTCGCAGCGCCAGTCGCCCGAGTATCTCCGTGAGTGGGAGCGCCGCGGCCCGGCCAAGGTGGTGGTCCGCGTAGAGGATGAGTCGGCCATGTACCGTGTGGAGCAGCGCGCGCGGGCCGCCGGCCTGGTGACGGCAGTCATCCAGGACGCCGGCCGGACCCAGATCGCGCCCGGCAGTGTGACCGTGCTGGGTGTGGGCCCGGCGCCGGCGGCCATCTTGCAGGAGGTCACCGGCCACCTGAAACTGCTCTGACCAGACGCGGTGGGGTGGGAGGTAGGTGACAATTGGGGACTGGGGAGGGTAGGCACTGTTTGTGAACGGTGACGTGATACGAACACCAACTGATCACGGCAGGGTCACATTTTCGTTGCCTCGTCGTGATCAGATTGTTAGACACTTAGGCTGGTGAATTTGTCGTTACGCTGGTAACGGCGTTGGCCTGAGCGGTTTCGTTGTTAATGACAGGTCTGGTCGTCTGTTGTGACGTGTGCTGCTGCTTACGCCCATGAACTCATGCAGCCGTTTCGAAAAGTTTTGAAGCCGTCTTTACCTCTTGGCGACTATTTATGTTGTTTCGAAGGAATGGTTCTACCATTGATCCCCTGACGTGTTAACCTGTACCGACATCAGTTCAATTCAACTACGGACGTTAAAGTGCATTAGAATGGGCACCGACAGAGTCATAAGTGATTCCTACTGATAATTTGGTAACATTTTGGTGCATTTTCTACGTGTGAATGTGATGTGACTGCTCGTTAATCCGATGCGGTGATCCATTTTCTCGCCTCACATACCCGGGCCCGATGTTGGTGGATAATGAATGTTGTGGTGAAGGAAAGTTGCGGAACGCAACGTACTCTATGTTCTTGTTACCGATCACTTCAGCATTCGAACATTTCGCCGCTGAACCTAGTTTGTTTCTGTCCCGCGTTTAGCCATATCAGTGTCTCTGTTTCAAAGTCTAGTCTCTGCAGCTTGAGCTGCCCCACTCTGTACCGACCAAATACAAACACGGTTGAACTTTCCGGCTATGTAATGATCATATCCCGCACCGGCTGAATCAATCTCACTCATCCCCCGCACAGCTGCAATTTGTCCACAGGCACATACTCATCGTCACTCAGTGCGCTACTCACTACCATTGCCAGTGATATTTTCCGAGCTGCCGCGGCCACTCCGCATCAGACCGTTCCTTAGAAGGCGGCCTTTAAACCCTGCAGTTCATCACTATCTATCAGTTACCGCCGGGGCAGGTCACCGCCCTGGGCCTGACGCGGCACGTCAATTAAGTACGATTTTTAGGGTGATTAGTGCGAATTAAGGATGGTTAGTGACGGAGGGATTATGTTAGGTCGAGTCAAGAATATCCTGGCACGATTGGACAGAGGGATGAGTCGAGCTAGAAAGAGAGAATCACACGGAGAGATGTTACCTGTTGATAAGACCGTCGCATAAATGATTTACATAACATGTCTCACCTCTTCACGAGGCACCTGTGCGAAATTAACAAGGCAACTGCAATACGCTGCCTCCAATGCACAGTTTTCTGAGGGCTCATTCGTATCCCTCTGGTCAGGAAGAACTTATTCGGGGCAAGTCGTGCATAGAGAATGTGGGAGTTTTTTTTTTCTCAACATTTCATGACAGGGTTTGGCCGACTTCGGGCGTTCTCATTCCGAACGATACGTTTGGCACAAAGTTGGTAAGATGAAAAACTTGCGAAGTTGGACGGTAAACACGCACATTAGAGTGAAAACATCAATCACCTTTCGTGCGGCATAAAAGCAGATATTCAAGCAGTTGCGCACTATTGTCTTACTACGTCAGCACGGCATAAATGAATTTAAAGGTAGAAGACTTGTCACGGGGGTAATGTCAAAAATACCGGACTTGACCTGATGTGGTTACAGAGAGGACAACTATTTTGTACCGAGAGCTTTGTGGTGCCATTTCGTCCAGGACACGCGATTCGTTGTTTCTGAAATTGGGCACAGGTCTCGACAGCACGATCAGCCCACATAGCTATTGACGTCACTACACGTCATCAGTGTACGTCACCTGATGTGGACCGGACTGCGCACACGCGTACACGAAAACGCATCCAAAATCACAAAAGCAATCACAAGACGGACGAAACTGAAGATCGGGGGCCGACGACAAACCACTACGGAAGCTGCACAAACAGCGGACGTATCGGCCGGCGGCGACGGGACGCGAACCCGCCCCGGCCGGCCGGCGGCTCAGCTGAGCGGCGCTGCCGCCAGTGCTGCCATCCAGCGGCGACAGCGGCACAGACGGCACCAGGGACAGGGACGCGGCCGGCCGGCCTGCCACACGCAGCGCGCACATGCCTCTCACGCAAGCAATCTAGGGAAGAGAAAAGAGCTGGGGTTAGTGAGGCGGCCGGCGCCGGGCGCTGCTCTCCGCTCCGGGACCGCCGAGACGAAAACCGCCGATGACCGGTACAAAACTAGACATGCAACTGGGAAAAACGCAGCCAGAGCTTAGAGATTCTCTACATTTTGGCAAAAATCCACATCGATTTACTTTCACCGATGGAAAAGTGACAAGTGAGGTCGCAAGTAGAATGAATTGAGAAGAACTGACTGGCTGCGCTTTTCTTTACAAACACTTATAAATCACAGAAACAAGGAACGGAGAAGCCGATAATTTAAGACAGGATAGACGTCAAACCACACGGAATACACACAAGTCGATGTCAGTTTAGCGACAATGACGAGGGAACAGCACACAACCCGAGGGGTGACCGCTTGATCTGGGTCATTTGGAGTTCACTTAACCTTGGATCAGGCACAGCGACCAAGTTTAATACCATGATGCAGTATAAGAAATTATATTAACTGCAGGCGAAAAAAAATCCGATTCACCTGGTTCAAACGGTCACTCCACGGCTGGGGGACACCATAAAACACCAGAGCACCGCCGCCCTTTTGGCACATGGAACGGAGCGAGATCATCTTTCTACAGCACGGGCACAGGCGGCGCTCTTATTGGCAACTGTATTTGCATCAGGTTTAAAAGCAGTAAAAAGTGCAATCATACTCGCATTGACATGCAGCTACAACCATTCGATCTTTTGTAGCACCCAACATTATGCGCTCAGATCTATCTGGATTCTGGTTCCACCTGAATATGAGCAAAACACATCAACTCGTCATATGTATGTCCTAATTGGCAGCAGTTAAATGTACGTATCAACATGCTTGTGAACGCAGCCTCCTACAGCCAGGAGATATAACAAAACTGTGAAGGCAGAGGCATGGCTTTCAGTTTGCTCTGATATGGGCAGTTACTAATCCAAAGTTAGAATTTAACTTCTCCTTTACTGCTCTTCACAACACAGCCAAATACTGACGTTGGCCGTCCACAGACCCGTTAGTGTAGTCTCACTCACATATGGAGATAAGCTCAAAATTTCTACGAAAGGCACTTTAGCCTACCGACCGGGCTTCGTGAACTGATAAGGCACCGCCACAGTCGCGCCAGCACGACCAGGCTGACTCCGACAGGTGTCCCGCCCATCTGCGCCAGTATATTATAGATGTCGCCCTGGTCGGCCCAGCCCAGGCTCGGCCGGCGTGCTATCACAGAGTGCGTCCGACTTACTCCGCGTTGGGCGGCGGCGGCAGCGGTCAGTACGGCTTGGAGGCGTCCCGGGAGCGTTTTAGCTGCACCTTGAGCCGCTTGGTGCCGATCTGGAAGCCGTTCATACCCTGAATGGCCGCCTGGGAGCTGCTCGGGTTGTCGTATGAGACGAACCCTGAAAACGGATCGAAACGGATGATGGTCCAGACAATAAGGGCAGTGCTGACGGAAAACACACAGAGAAAAATAGACAGCCAATCAACACCCATAACCGGAAATTTGGCACACACATGCTTTTTCAGCCAGTCAACAGAGCCCTGTGTAATGCGACATTGATAACAGCAACCAGTAAAAACGTTAAGCACATGTAAATGCATCTGCAGGTAAGAAGTGGTTGGTGCACGCCGTTTATTGGCGTTTGAGCTGTGAAAAGTGAACAGTTATGAAATCATCTAAAACTTAGTTTGCAAAAGAAGCAAGGAAAGCAGTACGTTTACGGAAGAAATACTAATAAGTGCCGGGTGTCCCATGCCATTGCGTCACCGAATAGGTACTTCATATATTATTTGCTGTACCTTGATTGTTTTATATGTTTCAATAGGTATAGAACCGTGAAATCAATTGAATATGTGACACTCGTAGCTGGGGCATTTGGGCAACAAATTATCTTAACGGGCATAATTCACAGGCATGTTGAAGACCTACAGAAGTGGTACAAAGTCGTTAGTGCAATTTAGTAATCACAAGCGCATGCTTTCCTTTTAGCATTAACGTACGACTTGATACGAATCTCCGAATCGAACTTAATTTACAAAAATCTACAAAGGCAAGCCAAAGCGACAGAACAACAAGAGCATGCAGGAACAGCGTGTGTTGTTCGCCAGCAGCTCAACCTGTTCTGTTTACTGTAGGGCGCACCGTGATCTCAGAGTCTCTCTCTGCTGGCCTCAGAGGTCGGAGGGGGGGGGGGGGGGGCTGAAGGCTCGTCCCTGCGCGAGCCGCCGAGGGGGCGCCGAGGGGGAGGGGGCGGCGGCGGGCCTCACCGAAACACTTGGACAGGTTGGTCTGACGGTCGACGAACACCTTGGCGGAAATGACGTTACCGAATGGCAGAAAGGACTGCGCCAGGTCGGAGTCGGTGAACTCTTGCGGCAGGTGGTAGATGAAAAGGTTGCAGCCGTCGGGGCCCTCGGTCTGGCGGCCCGAGCCGGCGGCCAGCGCCGGCGCCGAGTAGGCTGGATACCCTGCGGTGCATCGTCCCCGGTCACGGCCAGGTCACGGCTGTTCCAGAGGTCCGATCACCAGAGAGGGTCGGCAGCCGGGGAGGTGAAATACAGGGCGGGAGGACCTCGGCAAACAGAACTCATCTCCCACCCGGGCCGGTAAGTAGAGCGAGCAAGACAAGTCAGTGGGAACAGCGGGGTCAGCGCCATCAACAGGTTAGTCTATCCATCAAGTTAGTCCACTACCTCGGGCCACATGCACAAATCAGTCAGCCGATCGGCACTTTACACACGTCATGCCCACTCTCCGACTCCGACCGGCTCTGACTCTGACTCTGACGCACCTGAGTACTGCTGGAGCGCGGGGTAGGAGCCGAGCGAGTCGAGTCCGGCGCCGGCGCCCAGACCGCTCAGCGGCGCCGACGCGCCGGTCATCGACAGCGACGGTACCGACGGGATCGGAGACGCCGCCGACGTCTGTCCGGCGAACGCTCCTGTGAGGAGGATAGGGAGAGACTGGTCAGCCGGGAACAATACCGTACCAGAACGCTAACGGAACAGTACCAGAACAGTAAAGAAGGCAAGGCAACCATACGATCCTTCAATCGAGCCGCGCCAGGTCTGTCGGAATCGCCCCACGGCCTCTCGTATCAACAAGTGGTTTATCAGGTTGTGAGGCGCGAGCACAAGACCCGGTAGTGTTCTCGGTTAATCACAACACATTGAAGCAGTCCCATGATGCATGACGTTGAATTGCTTCAAAAATGGCGCTGTCGATAGAGGTGAACGATAGAGGCAATCAAGAAGGTAAGGATCTGATAACAATGTAAAATGTTGCAGCAGTAATCACGTTACAGTGACACGCCCATGAGTAAGGCATCTTCATGGGACAAATAACGGCAAATACTCGGATGTATCCTCGTACCGTAAGGCATGCCAGGAAGAGGTGAGCCATTGTGGCCCATAGCCGCCAGCGAGGCCAGGCTGACGGAGCTGAGATCTGTCAGCAAAAACAGCATTGTTAGAATAAGAACACCCAATCTGGCCGAAAATATCCAACGAGACCAGGCTAGTAAAGCTAAGATCTGCGAACAGCGCAGCATTTAGTTGTTTTGTTGGATCAAGACCTTGCGGTCCAACAGAGCCGTTTCAAATCATTTCAGTTGGATGACAGGATAGGAGCCAGACACTGGGCTGGGGTCGTTTGGTGTTCTGTGGATCAGCCCACCCCAGAGACAGGCCAACGAGCCGCACTAACAGGTACTCCTATGGGAGTTCGGTCCGATTGGAGCTCCTTCAAGTCACTTCCGGCTACGGGCACCACCCAGCTCGGAAAACAAGGAAGGATCGAGCGAACCGGAAGAAACCGACCAGAATTCAGAACGTCATCAACTAGCTGTAGAAAAGGAATCAACCAAAACTAAGACGAACGATCTTTCACAGTCATTTCATCTCCATTTATTCCGATCCCCGCAAGAAAGTCGGATCCGTTTCACACAATTCATCATCCCGTGTGCCCGTTATATAGCCTTGCGTGCGCCATAGATATACCTACACATTACGCACTATTGGAACTGAGTTCCTGATGCCGAAAGGCGCCTGTACCTGGTAGATCGATATAAGACTACCTGGTCCACTGGTAAACTGCCTGGCTGCATGGTACTTATGTACATAAAACGGTGCATAAAGACATCAGGAGATCAAGTCAAGTGAAGCTACAGGAGCCAGTAGTCACTACGGGGTAGCCCTCTGCAAACTGCGTGGTAGGTATTCTTTTTTCGACAAAACCGAGAATATCGCGGAGACTATGCTATCGGTCACTCGGAAATCGTAACAGCAAGACGCGCGAGACTCCGCACCTTAGATGGGCATTACCATCGTATTCATTTTCCATCCAGTTTGGCAACAAAACCCAAAAGTTTATATTTGCCCCCAAAACAAACTGTTGCATTTTGTTGCCACACAAAGCATATATTTTGTTTTGTGATAGACCCAATCGAAGGAGTGGAGCATGGTCCCTCTATTTGCAATGAATTCCGACCGACAGATCACATAGTCTTTGAGTTATCACCGGTTTTGTCGAAAAAAGAATACCTACCACGCAGTCTGCTGAGGGCTGTACATCCAAGGATGCACCATTTTACCTATTCTTATTACCTGTTGCATTGGTCAAAATTTGAACTACCGGTACACACCTGGTACATTGGCGGCGAAGGGCGGCAGGCCGGCGCCGGCCATGTCCGGGGTAGGCTCTCCGTTGGGCCCCAGCACCATACCGGCGGCCGGGTGAAGACCGGAAAGACCAGGCAGTCCTGCGGAACACATGGATTATCAGAGGGCGACGGTGGCAGGGCTAAACGGCGGGAGAGGCTGCCTTATATGTGCATGAGTCTAGAGCTTGATATTAGGAACGAATGATCTGCATTCGCCGATAGCTTTGGAATGATGAAGGGAGGCTTATCAAGAAAAGTGAATGGAGGGAAGAAGGGAGAGGAGAGTCAAAGGAGAGGGAGAAAAGGATAGAAGAAAAGATGAAATGTGAGACGATGGAAGTATTAAAAGCGAGACCAGACACACATCGTCCTAGAGCCCGCGAGCTCGGAAACAAACGATCAACAGCGACGGCTCCGACCGAACCGTGCCCGATTCGGGACGAAAAATGATACCTTTGATGTGGTGGCGCGGAACATCGTCAATCCATCTCATACGCCGCCGAGCGCGGCTTTGAGCGCCGCTGAGGCGACCCGGCCCAGAAAGGCCGACCCTTTCCGAGAGCGGCTCTGAACCGAGCGGATCGCTCAGCGTTCGCCGAAAGGCTCGGAAAACCGCTCCGCAGCGGTTGTGAGTTGAGGATTTGTGTGTTGTTCCGTTTAGTTTCTCTGCTTAGCCTTTGGTATCGGTTTCTATTTTCTTTTGTAGCACCTTTTTTATTTCATGTCCCGTTTGGCGTTCATTTTTTTAGGGCCAACACTAGTTGATACATGACTCAAATCTCAACGACCTTACTAACGGTCGTAAATAAGGGTAATATTTGTTTCTCACGCGCATCGACCCACTAGAGTACAAAGTGCCGTTCATACGTACCGTGTCCATTTTGCAGTTGATGCGGCAGCAGCTGCGAGCCCGGCATTCCTCCCAGGCCGGGTATGGAGGCCAGCGGAGGCATACCTCCCGCTCCGTTCAACTGCTGAAGGAGCTGAGAAACAAATAACGCCGATCGGTCAGTCGCCGAGCAAAGGGGAACCAGAGCGCGTGAGAAGGAAGAAGGGAGGGACGGAGGAGAGGGAGAGAAGTGAGGGGAAGTGGCACCGGCTGGGGACGATTTATGGCCTGCGCTGCCGGGAGTGGACAGTGATAAATGACTGCTAATATGCGTGCTGCATTAACGCAGCGAATATGTAAAAATGTCGATATCAATATTGCTGTAAAGTAGTGTTAATTGCGCAAACAACGGGCAATAATAGCCTTTTAACTCACAATGACTGAAAGAAAGTAAAACACGAGACTAGAACGACCTGCAACCCTAACCGTCGTCAGTATCGGGGGGGGGGGGGGATGCGCCAGGAGTAGGGGCTGTTTTTTTTCGTCGGGAGCGGGGCGTGGCGCTCATCAGGAGCGGGGGCGTGGTGCTGCTAGAAGGGGAGGGGCGGTTCTGCGGAGCGGAGGCACCGCGCTGCGGGGGCGCCAGGAGCGGGGGCGCGGTGCCACCTCCTGTCACAGGTGTGACGGGTCGCCGGCCAAGCGGCCAGCGGCGCCGGTGACGACGCGACCGGGCGCGTCACGCCGTACCTCTGGCGCCTATTTATACATCGTTATCTGCCCAGATGGCGGCGCGGCCACCGGCTGCCAGCCGCTGAGCTGAGCCCCGAGCGGGCCGAGCGCTGAGCTGCTTCCAGCCCGAGGCCGCCCGGGCCGCACAGTGATGCAAATGGGGTTCACGAGTGGCCATAAATACCCAAAAGTCAAGTTTACTAAATCGAGTTAATTGCGATATGGCCGAGTAGACAAATGTTTGGGGCATCTGAAATCACATGGTTTTCATGTTTTTGTCAAAACCGGCCTCGTGTATAATCGTCAGAAGTCGTGACAATTTCTAGGTCGTAAAATGACGGTCAGACGCTCGCAAGTTCAAACGCCGCTGGTTTGCGTTCATTTCGTACAAATTGAAAAAAAAATATGCATGGGAATGATCCCCAAAGCCTTCTGCTTCTAATGCCGGGTCACAAAAAGCCGTATCTCATTCGCTTTGGCGGTAATCTGACTATTTATCATCATGTTGCAATCGCAGTTTTTTACTAAGAAAAAAAATGTTTTCGTTTCACCTACAGCACCTAACACAGTGTGTGCCCGTTAGTCCACCATACCATAGCCTTCCCTAATCATTTCTGAGTCGCATCGTGAAAGAATTAAGGCACTAGCACAGGGCTGACCGGCGCTACAGAGATTTTTGTCCGGGCGGTCGGGTGCCGCAGTGGGCGCGCAGTGGACGGGTGGGTGCCGCCGCGCGGCGTCCGGGCGGCGCAGCGGCGCGGCCGCCCGGGCCGCCCGCTGCGCCGCGGCACCCGACCGTGCCGGACGAAAACTTCTGTAGCGCCGGTCAGCCCTGTGCTAGCGCCTTAATTCTTTCGCGATGCGACTCAGAAATGATTAGGGAATGCTATGATATGGTGCACTAACGGGCACACACTGTGGGAAGTGCTGTAGATGAATTGAAAGCAAATATTGTTGGTAAAAAACTGCGGTTGCAACATTATTACAAATAGTTAGCTCACCGCCAAACCAAAATAGATACGGCTTTTTATGACGTGGCATTAGAAGCAGCAGGTTTCGGGGAGCATTTTCATGTATAATTCTTGCAGTTTGTATGACATGAACGCACGCTAGCGGCACTTGAATTTCAAGTACCTGACAGTCATTTTACGACATCGAAAATGTCTCGACTTCTGACAATCCTACACGAGGCCGGTTTTGACAAAAACATTAAAATCATACTTTTTCAGACACCCCAAACATTTGCCTGACTGACCATATTACGATTTATTCGATTAAGTGAACTTGAATTTTGGGCCTTTTTCGTATTTATGGCCACTCGTGAACCCCATTTGCATCACTGTGGGCCGGGGGAGAGGTCCTGGCACGGTGGCCGCCCCGCCCCCGCCGGCCTCAGCGGCACCACGCGGACCGCCCGCTGCACAGTCCGCCAGTGTTGTTTGGACGCTGCAATTTATGCGAAACACGTCCAGCGGCGCGATTCATGGCCAGACAGGGGGATATTGCTGCAGGTCGTGCCTGATTTCAGCCACGCGGCGTGCGTGGAGGCTGAGTGGCGGCGGGCGGTGGTTTCCGTTTGTTTGGTTATTTAGCTAGTTGGCAGACAGCACCGTGGGCTGAATGATCTTCTCGCTAGCCACGGATGAAGTGTTACAGTTCGTCCATAGCAGCAACTAGTTAGCACTGGACCTGACTGGATATCTTACTCAGGTCGGGACAGCTTACATTGTTAATTAAACTTAACCACTTGATTTAGAGGTCTTGAAATAGCTTCAAGTCCAAACTAGTCTTAGTACCGACTAAATCATGCTTAAAAATTAAAAAGGTATAACAACTATCAAGCATAGTAATTTCTTTCCACTGCCCCTAGCAAGTACCAAATCGTGTCCAATTTTCACCGAGCCACCACTTCGGCATTCACTAACTGTCAGGTGCGAGCCTTGAACCCAAACGAACCCAGCCCAGCTGACCCGTTTCAGATTTACATCACGGCCCGGCCTTCAAAGAACACCACTGCCAGTGCTGACAGGTTACACGTTTACCCCGTCTCTGCTGCCGAGCGCACGCAGCAGAGCGTCCCGCAGCCGCCCTGAGTCCTCTCATCAGGCGATACTCTCAACTCTGTCGGAGGCCTCCCGAATGAGCCGCGTGTCCTGCGCCCGGGGCGGGGCGGGGCGGGGCCCGTCGCGGCCGGCGCCTCCTGAGTCAACAGACGGCCGGTCGTCGCCGTGTGATGACGCGCCGCGCCGCGCCGCTCACCGACGCCGGCGCCGCTATTTCGGGGCGAGTGCGCGCCGACCGCCGCCGCAGCCATGGGCCAGCCGGCCGGGAGAGGAGAGGATCAGCCCGCGCCTACCGCCGCCGCAGCCATGGGCCGGCCGGCCGGGAGAGGAGAGGATCAGCCCGCGCCTACCGCCGCCGCAGCCATGGGCCGGCCGGCCGGGAGAGGAGAGGATCAGCCCGCGCCGGCCGCCGCCGCAGCCATGGGCCGGCCCGCCGGGAGAGGAGAGGGATCAGCCCGCGCCGACCGCCGCCGCAGCCATGGGCCGGCCCGCCGGGAGAGGAGAGGATCAGCCCGCGCCGCCGAGAGGCTACGAGTCCAGTCTTTGCTCAGTCGGGACGGCTGACCGGTCCGCGCGATAGAGGGTGAACAACACATCCTACAAGTTACATTTGGTTTGGTTGAGCTCCATGAAAGAAAACAAGAAGTCAGAAGCTTACGTTCATAAACAATGCTTCCATCATTAAATCCACATCTCGCTCCAATATGTCAACTGCTAGAGACCGGGAGCCGGCACACGGAAGTGGGGCTCGTGGCCTTTTACTCAGACTTCAAACACAACCACCCCAGTTGTTTGCGGTTTGAATGCGCACGTCATCGCCCAGCGCGCATAGAGCGCGCGATTAACGGCATTTCTCTACCGTCATTAAGATCTTTGCAGGCACTGCCAGACACATTTCCGGCATGCACGTGTAATGAATGGCATTCCTCCCTGGAGCATGCTGAGCTCTTTGAACATCTTCCGAGAGATTCCCAACGGCCGCGCGCGCCGCCGTCGGCAGCGTCCCCGCTGCAGGCTCCCTGGTGGCGGCAGCGCCTCCAATGCAGGCCCGCCGCCTCTGGAGCCCTGTTTGGACAGCCATCCAGGCCAGGCGCTGCCGCGGCGCGATCACTACATCGCTTCCGGTGTGCCGCCCGCCGGCTGTGACGTCACAAAAGCACGTCCCGATAGCAGACACCGTGCAGAGCATGACGCACAATCGCTATCAGCGAGAGGAAATACGGAGACGATAGTGAACTCTTTCAGAGATTACCACTTTCATTCTTAGTTCAGCTTACGGCAATCGTGAGCCTTATACGCCAATCTGGCTTTGTTTGCCTGAAAGGTATGCTGTGCCGCAGCGCTTACGAGTGATGGGGGACAGTCTAGCGGGATGCATAGTTTGGAACGTTTATTGAGTGACTTAAGCTTTGCTGCATTCCCATTCGCGTGCGCTGTTGACAGAAAACGGAGCATAGAAGATTCGTTCTGATAACCGGCGAAATCGATTCATGCGTTTTTAAAACGCTCGTAAGCTTCCTCATTTAAGAACAATTATTCCAAATTCGTCGTCATACACGCATTGCAAATTTGCATGCCTTAGCCCCATTCGTAAAGTTTGACCTCCAAAGACTTTGGCTGCGCTGCTATCACAGTTAATTAGAAGCGCACAGAAACTTTCGACACTATAACCCTCAAACATAGTCAATTAAGCATCTCAACCAGCCTACACGGCTGCTTTCATCCCTGCCAATTACAATTTAGCCCATTCAACACACCACTGACTTCTCGGTTATGTAACCTCTGCGCTGGACGCTGCATAAATCTAGATTTTAGAATTTAAACAAATCTCGAGTTGCGTTTGGTGTAGCTTGTTGAGGTTATTGCATACGTCATTACCTTTGATTTCCCTCTTTTTTGTTACAAAACATTTCGAAAGAGCATAGAAACTAGTTCCGACGTCATTACTAGTTCATTGCTGGACTAGAAAATAGCTTGGTGTCATTCAGCTTGCTACCAGAGCTTGTTCTCTACACATTATTTAATCAACTTGTAAGAGCGTCCCTGTAACTACACAGACCAGGGTCTTCGCGCTGTCCCAAGACTCACCGCCAGGTACTGAGGGTTGACGGGCATCGGCGCGGCGACGGGCGCGCCCCAGAGTGCCGAACTCACTCCCTGGAGTCGCTTAGCATCCTTCTCCTTCTGAGTATCGGCGAACTTAACCGTCAGCGGCGACGAACAGCCCTGGCGGGGAGGGACGGGTCAAATGGAGGTCAGCTGGAAGTCGGGTGGAGGTCAGGTCAAGGTCAGATAGAGATCAGCTGGAGGAGACGGCGTCGCGAGATCGACACCCAGAGCGATTAATGCGTGATGTGAGACCATGGTACGAATGATGATCATCTGTGTACGTTTGCACGCCGTGTCTTCTTTGCGACAAACTAGTGCAATCATCCGATAATTTGGGGCGAATTGGAAGCGCATGGTAAGCGCTCCCTAGCAGCAAGCGGATGCTTCCACGTTGAGATACATTGCACGCACAAACACTGAAACATCGTTGAAATATGTTCGCCCGGCCTTACATTGTTGGCATATCAGTCACAGCTGAATTCGACGTGCTCTATTTCATGTCGCTGATAATAGATGGCGCTGCGTGTAACGCCTGCAGGTAGACTGTACCGCAAGACACGGCTGCTCCCAGCGCGGCGTAGGCATCGCCAAGACAAGTGGCGAATTGCTTAAAAAGAGTTTTAACTATCCTTTGTGTAGCTGAGCAGCAATACGACAGGGACAAAAGAAGTACGAGAAACAGTATCGAACTCAACCGATGGAACCACACTCAACTCATCTCACAAAATACACAGAAGAATAGCGTGAAAGCCGTGCCGATTCTCGACATCACCAGTCTTGGGGTGTCCTTACCTCCATAGTCTGTCCCTGGTGCATGGCCTTGATGGCAGCGATGGCGAATTGCCGACAGCCAAACGTGACGAAGGCACAGCCTACGAACGAAACAGGTGTGTTAGACTATAGCTTAGTACAGGGAACGATTATCGCAGGGGTATAGGAGCCAGACACATGACGCATGTCAGTGTAACTGTTCACAGGGGCACATACTCGTACTGCACTGGACAGAAAATGGGTTAAACAGCTTACAAAGAAGGGACAGTGTCTTTTAACGGCTCCACTATACATCTATGGATAAAACGCCGGTAAACTGGGTGACCAGTGCACAACATATGACCGAGGGGACGAAGGGAATTCACCTTTACTGATTCCATTTTGATCCCGAAGAACGGTGCACTCTTCGATTTGACCAAAGGACTGGAACATTTCCCTAACGTCATTTTCATTGTACTTCTTGCTCAGCATACCAATAAACAGCTTCCTCTCTGTAATTGGAAATACAGGATATCAGAACAGCATAGCGTTATACCGGAACGCTGCGAGCAGTGACAGCTGAAGTAGACCTTGTTGAAGCCGAGAAAAACACAACATAAGCCTGGTTCTGGTTCATCGGAATCAGTACCAGACTTATGTGACATATGGACGATTTGTCCGTAAAACTGAAATTTTCTGGCCATCCAAGTCTAGCTCCCTTGACCTTAAACTACCCATGAGAATCCACCGAGCCACCGGAGTCCGGAAGTGAGTACCTACAACCAGTCTTGAAAGTACCTACCGCGCGTCGATGCGGTGGATCCGTCAAGCCTGACCGAGGAAGGGCTGCTAAATTTGAAAGTTGCCGAACTAATTGACCTGGAGGATGGGTAAGGATGTCAATTGGTTCGACATCGCCACCAATTGACCAATTGACATCCTCACCAATTGACATCCACACCCGTTCCCCAGGTCAATTAGTTCGGCAACTCTCAAATTTAGCAGCCCTTCCTCGGCCGGGCTAGATGGATCCACCACCGATGCGCGGCACTTTCAAGACTGACTGTACAGCAGCGTCTCGAGCCAGTTGCATTACTGTCCCCTGTCCCCCCCCCTCCCCCCCGCGGGATGGCCGGCCCGCCCGCCGGTGCGCTCCATCTGCACTGTGCACACATGGAGCGGCGCGCCGCGGTCGATGGGGCGGTCATCCATCCGCCCCTTCCCCGTCCCCACCCCTCCCGCAAACACAGCCCCGCAGGCCGCCGGCGGGGTGGGCCCGGTGACCCCGAGCGGGCGGGCGGCCTGATGAACTGACCACGATGTGATCAGCACTGCCCGACCGGCGAGCTGGGATTAGCGGTGGATCCAGGAGGGATTCCGGAGCACGAAAGGACAGGGGCTGTCGAAAGAGCAGGTGGAAGGACAACTGTTCAGATCATGGGACACAAACAAAGGCGAGGTGGTTGGCTCACCATTCTTTGTGACTAAAAGAAAAACGAAACCCGACAAGGGACATAAGCAGATATCTGTGAGTCCCATGCTAACGAGAAGATCATTTTTTTTTCAAACCATCGGCGGCATCGGCGGAATCCAGACATGTACTGTTTCTCGAGAACGAAATAAAAGACTGTCTCTATCACTTCAACCTCTGATTCAGGAGATCCTCTCCCACTGGGAAACTCCTTGGCAGCTTTGCACTCAACAGCTGTTTGAGCCTCAAGAGACGGGAATAATGAGTCAATTCTGGCCAAACAAACCCCGAACAACAGCGGCATTCAGATGTTCTCGGCCGGTAGACGGAGTCGGCCCGGGCCGGACCGCCGGGGCAGGACAAATACGGACTCCATCGCGGACCTGGCTCTGCGCGCCAGCGAACAGAGTACACAGAGAGCGACGGAGAGACGGATAGGGGCAGGGAAGAGACAGAGGAAGAGACAATAGAGCAGACAGAAGCCATTCGGAGAGAAAGCGAGAGAGAGAGAGAGAGAGAGAGAGAGAGAGAGAGTCGGGCAAACACACACAGACAAACAAGCAGATAGACAGACAGACAGACAGAACGTAATCCAGCGGGACGCGAGTAAAAAGTAGGCAATCCATTCATTTGTCGTTGCAGGTCTGAATTTCCAGTACCGTGAACTATCCAGAAATTTTCTTCCAAGTTCACTACAGGCATAATTCAGCGAAATCCCCAAAGATCTTAGAATGCTGCTTAATTTTTCCACTCCATCAACAACAGATAAGTGTCAACAACATAAAATTGATCCTTAATGGCGTTTAATAGCCCGTGAAACAGCGTAGTTCTGAGCCAAGGTCCTACAAACTGTCAGGATCACAGTAACGACACCGCTAGGCGAAAGACAGAGTTCGCCCATGGACAAATAGAGCGGAAGCACGAACTCACCGTTTCTATTTTCTGTGTCTGCTGGCTTCATCTGGATTGCATGGTGCATCTGTAATGATAAAAAGTAAGCAAGGTTTGGTGATGCAATTTTTTTACACATCAGTCATCTAACTGCTAGCATACGTTTTTAGGCATGACATATAAACATCTTCAATTCCATAGCCACATCAACAGCAATCATAAGTACGTGTCATCAGTCCAAAACAGCTGAACAACAGTCAGCAGGTACATAGATATCCCGGATCATAAAGGAACGGCACGACATGGTCTGTAAATTACAGCGGGCAAAACGCCTACTGCCAATGAGCCGTCATAACACGTGAGGAGCGAAAACACATGACTCAGAAACATCAACAAGAAATTAACTTGAGCGACCGGTGCCAATGTAGATAAGAGAGAGAGAGAGAGAGATAACTGTATTTGACAGACTCGAGGTCCAGTACCAGTCACATCACATCAAAATTGTATCACTGTACAGGGCAGAGCACCACGCTCTCCGAATCGATGAATAACATGCCAGATCACTTTCATATAGGGAGGATACGATTCGGTTGTCCGTCTGGCTCAGGCGAGTCATGAATCCATAGACGGCCTTTCGATACATCGCCATAAAGTTATCGATTCTTTCATTCACAAACATGTCGGACGCACTACAGAAACGATGATAACCAAAGAACATTCTAGCTGCATTGTTGAAACAAACAGTAAATTTCCTTGACACAGAAGAGCGATAAGAATGCCACAGATGCACACCATGTACATTAGAACAATACGTAGAGTATAAGTACCGTTTCACATTATATGAGCACATTGCAAATTTCCTGATCAGGGAGTTTGCCCGACAACAAAGAAGACGATACTGATATTGGATTTCCAGATCATCAGTTTTCTTGGGGCTGCTGGTGATATGGAAGCCAAGATATTTGTACACTCAGAAAACACTTTGAGAACATTTTTGAATAAGGGCTCATATGAGTGCCAAAACAGGGCTCAAATCTGTATGATTTTAAAATCGGGATCAGTTAGGCGCCCTTTTCGGGCTCAAAGTACATTAGCCCCGAAAGCGGCATCAGTTCGTCTTCCTTTTCGGGCTCAATTCGAGCTGCGTTTTAGGGCTCCATACGACATTCCGCCATTCCGTCTTTTGCTGTTTTCAGTGCCATGTGTTGGTGTACCTACCGCCGTGATTTCAAAATGAATGGTAAGTTATTAGTTATCAGTTATCGCTATCTTTTAGAAAAAATCAAGATGTTGATGCTCATGCCATTTTAATCCCTTATCAATTAAAATTGTGGTGGCATTTGTTCAGAAAAGGTCTGATCTACAATTGTGGCGCCGTTGATACGAATACGCACGGGTTTGATTATTCGTTTTTCTTGTATTTGCGCCACATGAAAGCATCATATCTGGATTCAGGATGTCAAATAGTGTAAGAATGTGCAAAAATTTTGTCTGGTTCTTCGTGATGATGTGATTGAAGCAATGCTTTCAAGGGTAGGTAAGGATTTTGTTACTTGTTCGTAATGGTTATCTTGATGCTCAACTAAAATTAATCCTAACCTTGCCTACTAACCTATTAAGTTAAACTTAGTACCAATACCTACCAACCTACAACCTATTTGGATCTTTCATATACTTATAACATGCTGCTGCTTCTGCTAACATGCTGCGGAATGCTGGTTGACATGATGGAATGCTGGTATGACAGTGTTCCATGTTTCAGAATTTTAGGTGAATAACCACACATGATGGGGAAAATGTTTTCATCCTAAAAATATGACAAGTGGCTTTATTTCATCTTTGCTAAAAAAAATATGTCAAAAGTTTGATTCAACAGCCAGCTGCCAGGTTACGCATGACTTGACAGTTGATGCATCTACTCTACATCATTTCATTTCAGATCCTGTGAAGGTTACTTCTGACAAAATCTGAGGTAAAAATGGCATTATGCAGTTTTGCGGAAAGACTAAATCTATCTCATTTTGTCTTCAGATTTTTTTTTATTGGGACACCCAATTGAAATCCAATTTTAGAACACTGTGACACCATGCCTGTGTGCCAAGTAAGAGGAAGGGTCTACAAGTATACATCAAGATAACCAATTATGGACAAGTTGAGACTTGAGTCATGAGCTCTTATTTGTGGTTACAATACCTTCAACTGCATGATTTTGCACAACTTCCATACAGGCATCCAGACTGGAAAAGGTTCAAGTCCATACTTATTCTGGTGCTTGAATATGGCAGTTCAAAGATGGAAGGCAAATGATGCTACAAAATGAAAAAAAAATAATTCAACTTACAAAAAATAGGTATTCATATCTATCCTAAACTAAACTAACCTAAACTTACCTAACCTAATCCAACCCAACCCAACCACCCCAACCAGCCCAGCCCAGCCCAACCCAGCCCAGCCCAGCCCAGCCCAGCCCAGCCCAGCCCAGCCCAACCCAAAACCTACAGTCTAAAACCTAGAGCTAAAACCTGCAGCCCAAACTGGAAAACATCCATATGGTACGCCGGACGCCCGTGAAGCCGTCATGCGCCGAAGTTCGGCGCAAGCTATTTTGCAATTTGCGCTGAAATTTCTGCATTATTTGCGCCGAAGGTTAGTGCCCTTTTGCGTCAAAATTAAGCCACTTATACAAAAAGCACGTTTACATCTGCTGGCCAAGGTTTTATAAACCAGACAGAACGCTCTGGGCCTTAACCACTCCTGAATCCCATGTTTGAGCGTCCAAATTAGTTGATGTTTCCATGGAAGCTGAATACCACAATACGTGTAGCGCACTGTAGCATCGTGCCGTGAAATAAGGCTCGGGACGGAAGTTCCGGGGTCACAAAAATTGGTGTGGCGGTGTTGTCGCGGCTGGCGGGCTCCAGCAAGGGGTTTAAGTTTACGACACCACTCTTGTTTCAGGAGAGGTGTCAGCGATTCGAGACTACTTGGGCATGCGGGCAGCGGGGTCGGCGTGGCTGCCTGCGGCTGCGGCCACACATCTTGGCGTCCTGGAGGCGGAGATGCTGATGGTGGCATGAGTCATCACTGGCTGCCCGATTTCCATGCTCCAAGACTCGCCGTGAGGGCCGAGGCGGGCGTCGTGCCGATGGAGAGATGAGGAGGGATGCGCTGGCATCGCGCCTACTGGCGAAGGCGCTCTCCCTCCCGTCGGAGGACCCGCCGCGTCGTGGCGGAAGCCCCCCCCCCCCCCCAACCGTGACTGAAGTCAGTGACCGGCTGGAGAGAGCGCGGGGGAGCGGTGTGGGACCACTGGAGTGGCGCTGCCCGCCGAGGCGCGCTTATCCACGAGACTGCCCCCGTAGACGCCAACAGACGGCGTCACGGTCCACCTGGACCTGCTGCCGATCGGGGCGTCCGCGACAGCGAGGAGGAGTGCTGCGGAGGCGTGACTGGGAGCGCTCCCCCAGCGTGCGACGTGGGCCTGGGTCGACGGGTCTGCGACCGGGGGAGTAATAGGAAGGCGGCGCTGGGGTCCTCACCGAGCACCCAGACAGTACAACATTGGTACTGCGGGAGGCGGCGGGGAGGATTTGCTCCATTTACCGATCTGAGATGGTGGCGCCCAAAACGGCAAAGCAACATCTCCTGAAGCACCCGTCCTTCGAGGAAGACCCCATAATCATTTGCTCCGACTCGCAGGCGTCGCTGGCGACGCCACGAGGTGGACAAGTGGCCCAGACACCCCCCCCCCCCTCATCCCCTAGGTGCCGCCATCTGGGAGTATATGATGGCCCTAGTGGCTGTAGGGGGCCGAAGAATCCACAATAGAAGGAGGGCGGCGATAGCCCGATTAAGCTGGGCGTCCAGTGGAGCCTCGGCTCTATCATGGGCATTGGGCAAGGACTCTGCGAGCACCCCCGTCTCCTCCATCTTCGACGGCACTCCAGTCAGAAAGCTGTCCCCACCCGAGTTTCCCAGCAGCATGGGCCACATGAAACCGAACAGCGCCGAGCCGCTCGACGCTGAGGACCAGGCGAGAGTAACAGTGAAAAGGTGAAACGCTCGAAACGGCGCGCGCCGCCGGCCGAGGGCGCCGAGCCGGCCCAGGCCGGCTGCGGGTCAAACAGAAGCCGTCTCCGCGGCGGCCGCCCAGTGACAGCGACTCGGACTGACGTCGAGGCACCGCTGCCGCCTCCGCCGACCAACCCGCCGCCCAGCAAGGGCAGTTTGAAGGCGGCTGCGCCGGTGAAGGTGGCGCGGCCTGGCAGGGGCCGCGGCCGGCCCACTCCCAGCTACCCGTCCCGCGAGGTGCTCAGTACCACCGACTCGTCCGATTCTGAGGCAGCGCCGTCGGCGGGCCGCCGCCAGCAGTGACGACGACCGGCTGGCGGCGTTCGCGCGGGACTTGTCCGACTCCTGGTACTCGGACTTGCCGCCCAAACTGGACGCCGGCGGCGTGAGCACCAGCAACGCCAATAAAAAGTCCACCTTCATCCGGCTCTTCTCGCACCGTGTCAAAAGGACTACGCCGCGCGGCCGGCCGGCCAACTCGAATGAGCGCAGCGAAGGGCACACGTCCCCGACGGCGGCACTGGCGCCTCCCGCCGCGCCGCTGCCGGCGTTGCTGGCAACGCCGATCCAGGCCCATCGATTTCTACTGTTTTGTTGCCTACGTGCCGCTGCCGCCGCTCAGCCAGCACAATGGCGTGCCGGTGTTGCGCTGTCGGATCGAAAAGCGGCTCGTGCAGCGGACGGACGGGTGCGGCCCGCGCGATGAGCCGCCGCCGCACACCGAGCTGCGCCGCGCGGACGTGAAGGTGGAGCTGGCAGCGGCCTGCTCAGTCCCCTCAACGGCGTCGACCGGCTCTCCGGCGATTTGCGGTCAGAAACGCCGCCGCTTCTGGGACCAAGGTGTCAGAGCGCGGCGCTGCCCGTGAGACGTTAAGTTAGCACAGGCAATGTCGTCTGCACTCCTTGCAGTTCATGTTGAATACACAACCATGTTGCGAAGTAATAGGCGCCGGGTTTTTCAGTTCATAGAACTTTTTCCCTGGCTATTACACCCCACAACCGAACACTGACACCTTGCACAAGTATGACTGTGTGTATGAATGTTAATAAATACATGAACCAATGTTGTGTTTTCGGTTCCAGTACCTTCTTTGGGCACCTCGGCAACAAGTAAGTAATCCGTTAGCTTTGCCACACCTAAGATAGGCTCCCACGTTGTTATTTGCTCCCGGGTTAACATAAACCGGTTTAACGTAACTTTTGCATCCCGGCCAAAATTGCCGGTTAACTGTCCCACCGCTCGAGACTGGCGCTAGGCTGGCCGAGCAAAAAAAAAAGTTTGTCCGCGGCTTCGTCTTATTCGCAGCTGCTGGACACGGGGGAGGGGGGAGGAGGGGCTGCATCGGACGAAAAGCGGGCTCTGGTATTAACTGGATTTTTTGCCAGCTGGCGCCGTATGGTGGCGCTAGCAGAGCTTCTTACATATCAATGCTAGATATAAAAGAATGAATATTTACCAATCAATTTTTCATTTAAAGCCATTTGAAATATTTATGTCCATCCTACTACCGCGCTTAGGTATATCTAAAATTAAATACCTTTCGTGCGTCGCCAGCTGGCCAGCCAGCTGACGCAATCCAGCTTTTACCAAAGCCCCGAAAAGCGATGACGTGAGCCCTAATATTGGCTTCACCACACAATTTGAGCCCTCAAACTGGAATCAGGTGAGCTCGAAAATGGGGATCAGGCTGAAAACTGGTATCATAGTGAGACTAGTTTTAGAGCTTGACACCGATAATGGGTACTGACTGAGCTCTGTTTCTGCGATCAATGATACCGATTTAAGGGATCGTATGAGCCCATGTGGCGCTAGCTCAGAAAGTATTCTCGAAATGTGCTGTCTGTTTTGAATATGGTACATTAGCCCGAAAACTGGTCTCTGAGCCCGAAAATCGGGACACTGTTTTCTCAGTGTACTGATCAACATAAGCTAGAACATTTCCACACAGCACAATATCAGGCAGGATCATATTTCGAAACAGTGGAGGCAGAATCGACATACACACTGATTTCTTGGTATTGAACACAATATCATGATTCCCTGCATAGTCAGCACAAATGTCAACCATTTTTTGCAGACCCTGTGGCGTAGGGGATAGGAGCACCATGTCATCCGCATAATATAGGTGGTTTATACTCCCCAGATAATGACATCCTACACCACTCAAGTCCAATTTTTCTGACAGCTGGTCGGTATAAGCATTAAACAGGTACGGAGAGAGTATCCCGCCTTGCCTTACGCCATTCGTCACAGAGAACTCCTCAGAGAGGGTTTTACCCCAAAGCACATGATACCTATGTGAGTCTCGCCACCGAACGAGGAGCCTTACAACGCTATTATCCATTCCCCTACTCAACAGCTTATCAAATAGAGTCCAATGGTTCACGCGATCAAACGCCTTTCTAGCGTCCAGAAAACAGACAAAGACTGCACTCCTATTGCGCAAATAGTGGTCCACAATTTCTTTTAACGCATACACAGCCATATCGGTGGAGTGGCCCTCCTTAAATCCAAACTGATGATCGCTAGTGAGAAGACTTGCTTTACATCGAGTGAGTATGACCCGCTCCAGTATTTTAGAGCTCACCGTGGCCAAAGCTATTGGCCTATAGTTATCCTTATCAGTCAATTTGCCTGTCCGATCTTTCACAATAGGGCGAAGTATCACCTTCGACAAAGAAGGAGGCAAGACGCCATGTCTCACCATCATCGAGAAACATAACGATAGATGCGTAGCACATGGAACACCCGCAAACTTAAAATGTTCAGCAGATAGACTGTCACAACCTGGAGAGCGACCTGACGACAGCTCATGGATCGATTCTAAAACCTTAGGAACCGAGAACATATCAGCACCTTCACCATCATTACGAAGCTGATTCAGAACACCTTCTTTACAGTCATCGCCATCAACACTATTCAGAATATCAGCAAAGTGATCCTTCCACATGTTCGCTATATTTTTCTCTCCACTGACGCTTCCAATAGACTGGGCCAGTGGCGGATCAGCGTTAAGCTTACGAACTTCTTTCCAAAAAGTTGCTAAGTCGCGCGGGTTTTTAGCAAATTTATCAGCTAGTGATTTTGCTCGCAGCTCTTTCTCATTCTTAAGACAAAAACGAAGCGCATACTTGAATTGTGACCTAGCCATTCGCAACTGGCTGTAGATGTAGCCCTGACGGGGCTTTCCAACCAGGGCCGGGACCAAAGGGAGTAAACATCACCGAACAAGGTGTGTTTCTCCTCCACAAACTCGGTCCAACCTGGGATTGTTCGCTTACAGCTACCATGCGCTCGTTTGGCCACAGTAGTAAGAGTAGCACTCTTAATAGCATCAATTATCGCTTCATAATAACTATTGATAGCCTCTCTGTGGGCTACACTACAGTCAGTGGCAGCACAGAATATAGCCTCAAACGGTACGTCAATATTAGACAATTGCTCCCTCGCAGCCATAGCAAAGTTGTTCAGACCAAGTTCGTCAACAGAAGACCAATCAACTACCCACCTAGGATCAGATTCAGCAGCCTCGTGTGAATCCGGGATAGGGTCGGTGGTCATGATTTCCAGATCACAACACACTGGGAAGTGGTCAGAACTCATAATCGACACATCAACCCTAACAGCACGAACGAGAGAGTAAAGACTCTTTGTACAGACTATGTGGTCAATCCAAGATTCTGTGCAACTGCCATCATTAGTATGAGTGATTGAACTCTGGGGCAATAACAACACATCAGCAATGCGTAAGTCTGCCTCTTGACAGAATGATTCAAGTTCAATTCCAAAGTCAGATTGCTTGATGATGTCAGCATTAAAGTCGCCTACAATGCAGACATTGGGTGAGTCAAAATCATCGATGATTCCTTTGAGCTAAGACAAAACAGAATTTCACACCAACTTCCTTTGAGATAAGACAAAACAGAATTTCACACCAACATGGTAGTCACAAACGTTTATTTACTTACTCCGGGAAGGGTTTTGACGTTGTGCAACTGGTTTTGCGCTTGCAACGCGGCTTTTCTCGTGTAGAATGTGACGAAACAGCAGCCTGCAAACAGAAACGAAAACAGGCTATAAGCGTATCCTTTTAAAGATATCGTATTTGCAACGCAGGTTTCGAAGGACTTTACCAGGGGCGCGAGGAAGTCATCAGTTTAAAAGGTCGTGAGAAGTCAACACTCCCGAGTGTTTAAACTTTCAGTTGAGTTCCCGGGAATAAAGGACTATCGCACTGAGTTTCCCTTAGGGAAATGCCTAATTGTATGTTCAATTAAATCAACAGCTAAGAAACGCAACGCAATCCCCGTAATTACCAACACAACTCGTACAATTACTCGCCTCTATCCATCCCCAAAACCTTACATCTCAGCTAATAAGGCAGAACGATTTCGATAAATTTCCGGTGTCTGGCGGCTCCGTCACGCTAAATCCCGGCACCACACTGGCGCGGGGTCGGACGGACGGCTCCGGAGGCAGTCGTCGGTAATTTATGGCAGAGCGACCGCCAGCTGTTGCGTGTCGTCCGCTCGGCTGTTGTTGGGTCGGGTGACAGACTGGATTGACCTTAACTTCCCTGCTGCTCTCAGCGTGACCAGTGCAGTCAGGGATTTCACAGAGCGAGCGTGCACGATCTTGTGGATGCATCTAGCAAGTTGCGATACATTTTTGGTTACCTAACCTAGAGGCTAGAACTAACAATTTCCAGAGCTGATTCCACTGATACTTTATTGAAGAACCTCCGTATTTAATAAGCTCCAAAAAAAAAAGAATCCCACCGGAAGTCCACTGGATCCTAGCACACAACTCACAAACACCATGTGTTGTTGTGTGTCAGCCATCTGACGTCATGTTGTCACCCCGGTGCCAGCGCTCGTGTGGCACGGCCCGACGAGCGGTGACCCCTGGTGCCGACCGGGGACAGCTCTGTGCAGTTGGCATCACATCAGTCCCCCAGCAGCCTCCACATGTCGCCCGCTGATTGATACGACTTTAATGAGATAGAAGCTACTTTATTCTCCCCTTATTAATTACGTTTTGAGGCTGGGCTGGCGCCAGAGACAGCTCCATTCTGTTAGATGCGGTGTTCGTTCATCAGGCGCGATTGTTGTGTGGTGTGTTGCCTGTGGCGGTCCTCCCTCACCGCCGTGACAGCGTCTCGTAGCTCCCCCGTCCGGTGACCCTACTGACCTTTACTGTGACCTGTGATCTTGTCCCGCAGCACGTTGATCTGGTGGATCGGCCCGAACTCCTCAAACATGCCACGGATGTCGTTCTCGTTCATGTGACGTGGCACCTGGCCCACGAACATCTTGATGGCGTCCGCATCGGGCTGGTCCCGCGACACGCGTCCGTTGCTGCTGCCATCTGACGGGACCGTTCTGAAATAAAACGGCAAAGTTAGCTTATCCGCGGCGGTGAATTATAATTTCATGGCACCACTGTGTGTGTCACATTACTGCGTGTCATGACCGCTCGGGAAACGCGCCAGCTATCGCCTCAGTGAGCTATCGGCCGGCTCGTATCGTGGTTTCTGTCAGCTCCTATCAGCAAATGGCTGGCTTCGACGGGCCTTTCAGTAAAATGTCAAGCATTTGTGACGACACGTTCTGAAGTGTCGGCGTCTTATCGGCGGGCGCGCATCCATCTTCCGAGTCGGTGACACGCTAAACTTTATCAGCCGCCGGCCATCCGAGAGCTGATAGACGTTATTATGAGATCACAGAAGCACGTCAGAGTATTTTCAGAAAAAGCGCGGCGTACGCATATAATTACTCAGCGAAATATAACGGTAAAGCATACACATAATCCACACCGTCTATTCAACGACCTTTATAAAAAGTAATAAACATTGGTCCCATTTGAAATATTTTGCATCTTTTAAAGTAAAACAGCTGTACGCATGCACTTCCTTCGCTGCTTTTGCATCCTGTCCGACTTTGTTCTCCAAGTGAGCACTTGCGACAGATCGTAAGCCGCCCGTGCGGCGAATTTCACAGAATCAAAGTGTACTGAGCGACTGATAACCGGGGACCCCACGCGGGCCGTGCGCGTGCATGGCATACCGAACCAACGGAAAACGACAGTCACAGAATGTCAATGGGGGACGGTCCAACCCATCGCTACCAACTGCAAACGTCGCTACGGGCGGACAGAACGCTCCAGTCAGCAAATGACGGTGTTTAGTCGACTTCAGCGCTCTGGCTGAGATGTGACTGAAATATTAGTAAAATCAATTCATTTCGGTGATGTCGAATTAGGTTGATTGATTGCTACCGTCATCAAATGACGAGAAATTAAAACTGCTGGCTTCAGCAGGACATTTTAATGGAATAGTCATTACAAACTGTTGACACATAAAGTGATTTCAAATAATGAAAGTATATCACGGAGGTCAGTTTTTGGATAAAAATAACAAAATGGGCACTAGGTGAGTCAGAAGTTCTTCCATTTGGCGAAGGGAGGGAATTTAAAGACATTTTTCCCCTAAGTCGAGGAGATGTTCTCTGCATCTTCTTTTGTCACTGTGCAGTTTTGATAGAATGATCCAGATTTATAGAACAACTCACAGGCTGTAGAACAGTACAGAAATACTTATCATTGACATAATCCATGACCCGGATTAACCAGCCCCGCCTCCCCTGTCGCACCAGAGGGGGTGAGGGAACGCCGGGGGGGGGGCACAGGGGAGGGGTGAGAGCGCGGGGGCAGTGTTTGCTCTCTGCTCTGTATCGCTCCGACAGAGCCGCCTACGTCGCTATCAGCCGGTCACAGTGCGATAACCAGCTGTTATCAGTACTAGAGAGCTGGAGCGAGGACGAAACACCGAGGACGGTACGCCAGGACTGAGGCTAGAACGGCGACGGAGGGGAGATTGAGGTTTACGGTGTGGGAGATTGAGCGTTACTGACGGCAGTGAGTGAGTTTGCCGTCAATCTGTTCACCTGGCCCCACCGGTCACCATAGTTCGCAATTCCCGTCACCGGAGACGGCCTAAAAGCACGTCAAGATGAATGGTCAGAAAAAGACCTCGCGACCAAGACGAGACCGCGTGAAAACTGCCGCGAGCGACCGAGGCCGCTGACAAATGAGCCTAGCCTTTATCGTTAATATAAGATGATCGTCTGACGTTTTTGGTGGTTTCAGCTAGTTCAAAGACATAGCTATGACAAGTAAACAAAGTTCTGGAAGTGCCGTTTCACAGTGCTTCTTTGCTTGGCTAGAATAACTATGATGTAGTTATGACGTTCTATTAGCTCCAGCTCAGTCCGCCGCGCCGTTTGCGTTCCAGCGAGCCCACCGGTACAGCATACCTCCAGGCGCTGACCACTACTGCCATCTAGCGACCCAGATAACAAACTAGCACAAAGCGCAGCCGACGCGACAGCCGGGCGTGAGTTGAGGAATGATTTCTGGAAGGTGCGCTAGACTATGTGAAGCTGGGTTCTAGAAGTCAGTTTCGTCTACATATATTCAAGTGTTAAGTGAAAGTTGCAGTAAATGGCTGAAGCCATCTTTCAACAATTTGACAAGTTAAGCTGTAGGTAAATATTAAGTTCGCTTATGTATTTTTCAAATGGTGCATTATAATAGATATTGTTGTCTGAACACATTTTATTTCAAATTTACATATCAATAGGTCTCAAATCACCGTGGCCGATCGGGGCGTGGCCGTCGGCCCGAGGTGTCCGCCGGTGACGCCGGGGACGGAGCTATTTCCGCCCGCGTGCTGACTGAAGCGCCGCGACAGCAGGGACCAAAGTCGGCTGCACGTCGGCGTCACCGGAGCTGACGGCTCGGGGCCCGTCGGCTGACGGTCCGACGCCGTCAGCAGGCGGCCGTCATCAGCCATTGACAGGGCGACAGCGCCGGTATGTCGTCCATCAGTCGAACGGGCGACGCTGAGCGCGTACGGCGTCTGTCTGGGCGGCCCGACTATACGGCGTCTGGGCCTTCCGACTGTACGGCGTCTGAGCGGCCCGAGTGTACGGCGTCTGAGCGGCCCGACTGTATATACGGCGTCTGAGCGGCCCGACTGTACGGCGTCTGGGCGGCCCGACTATACGGCGTCTGGGCGGCCTGACTATACGGCGTCTGGGCGTTCCGACTGTACGGCGTCTGAGCGGCCCGACTGTACGGCGTCTGAGCGGCCCGACTGTACGGCGTCTGAGCGGCCCGACTATACGGCGTCTGGGCGGCCTGACTATACGGCGTCTGGGCGCTCCGACTATACGGCGTCTGGGCGTTCCGACTGTACGGCGTCTGAGCGGCCCGACTGTACGGCGTCTGAGCGGCCCGACTGTACGGCGTCTGAGCGGCCCGACTGTACGGCGTCTGAACGGCCCGACTGTATGTACGGCGACTGGGCCGGGCCGGATCCGGCCCAAAGCCTATACTGAAAGCGGAGGGACTGCCTTATGCTGCTGAATGGCTAGTTAGGCGGCGCTAGGATAACGGAAATGCTGACTTGTTGAAGAAAGAAATCGTGGAAAGCTCATTCCGTAGCATCACTGTGTTTTGAATGATCGAACTGAAAAAGCTACGCTCACTGCTCAGGCTATCGCAATAAGCTTTGTGAGTTTGAATGCGAATAATCATACCACGACTTTCGTCATCCTCTGTCTGATGGACTTTATGACATGCCGACTGGTCATAAGCTGCCCGGCATTCGACAATAGCATGCAGTGTCGAGGTTTTCACATCCCCGAATTTCTGTGTAAATTGTAATTATCCACCGCCCCGAAATTTTGTGTAAGTTTACAACATCGTCCGTCCTTCACTGCCTCCAACATTCATCGATGTCCGACATGTCAGCGCCCACAGCGGGCTCCCAGCAGCGGGTTTGTTCATTTGTCTGCGGCCGGCGCCGGGACGCCGGTCCAACACCTGTCCGCGTCGTCCGTCTGTTGGGATAGTGTCCGCTCCAACCGGCAAACTAAATGCTCGTGCTGAGAGACTCCCGGTGTCAAGCGTTTGTTTTCCGGGGTGAGAGAGGGCCACCCGTCAGGAGGATCTCCTCAGTCCACGGTGGACGCTGCCTCGTCCACTCGCGGTGGACATAGCAGGAACGGTGGACGGTCGTACGAGGGACAGACCGACTCTCGGTCGGTCGACCCGCGCGAGTATTTTTATCGCTGATCTGCTGGCAGGGGCGACGACGATGACAGACGAACGAGCTGGCACTTCAGTCATCAGCGTCACCATGACGTGGCGCCGCTGACACGGCCGCGCAATGATGGGATGATGGAGGTCGGGATGATGTGGGGTGTGAAGCGGTCAACTCACACCTCCACCCTCTGCCAAGTTCTAGTTGCCAGTTGCATGAATGTGTGACGCCTGCGATGGTGTCAAGTGTTATGTCCGGTATATTCCAAGGTCAATTGACAAAGTAGCATGCGCATTGGCATTTGGCATTGACACTCAGTCCGACCCTTTGACATTATCGGGTAGCCATCTGACAGCTGGGATGAGATGCGACTATTTTAAGCTAGCAAATAATTGACCTGTAGTGGAGAGAGGACGTCCCTCAAACGTGAACCAGTTGACCTAGCCATCAACAGGTTCTGGCCGGTCTGATCTAATCGTTGATAATTACAGCTTCCCGAGAAAAAGTGTGGCGTAGGTCCATTTCTTATGGACGAAGGTGCATTTATATCACAGGGAAGTAGACTTATGTTGACCACCTTGTGACCTCAGACCTGTTTCACAACTTTGAATCTTTAGTGGATCAACATTGGATCCATGAATTGATAGTGCTGTCAGACATAATGTTATTTCGATGAAAAGTCGCGCTCAACCACGCCATAAGTATGATAATGAAAAAAATCAACAGAGTTGCATCTGTCAAAATTGGGAGTTATAGTGGGTTTTCGCTACAAATCATTCAATGGTTGTTTAGTTTCAGTAGTCTGAATATCATAGGGAAGCACTGATCAGTGGGCATGGATAGCTTCCTCTCTGTGCTACCGTGGCTGTCCCGTCGACTGGAATGCACTGAGGACGGTGTTCGGGCCCGCTCGAGTGATCTATAGCGGGCAAAGGAACGTGGTCACCGCCGCCGGCCGGCCGCCAGCCGCCGCGTGTAGCTATCATTCAGGGTGTCGAGCTGTGACGTGAGAGAGGGCAGTGCCACCCGCCACTGGTGACCTGTGGACTGTCTGTGAGCTGTCCTGTGGGCTGTCACAGACCGACCCAGCCGGCCACCGTCCGGTGTCGGTGTCTAGTGTCCCCGTCAAATCAGTCACTGGTGACCCAATTCATCCTTCCACCATTCACTGTCTCACAAGATGTCTCTATTTAAGTCCCCCTCGGTATCAGTCTCCAACTGAACCTGTTCTTCAAAGACCCATTCCCCCTTTAAATGAGTGCAAAGGAGTAAACC